ATTCCATTTAAGGTCATCTTGGATATACACACCTAGATGTTTATGAAAAGAAACCGTATGTAGATACGTGCTTTGAATTTAATATTTAATATTTTGTTAGTGAGGATCAGTAATTTAGTTTTTTTTCAGGATTAAAGGTTATTAGCCATTTATTTGTCCACACACACAACTGATTTAAATCATAATTTAATTCTTTTTTTTAAAAACAATATTTTTATTCAGGTTGTCTGAATGGGATTGAGGAACAGGCTTAGCCTATATAAAACCCTAAAACAGAAATTCGCCCATATATCTGTTATCACTCGTCACTTGAGTCAGTTAAATGGAGGGATAACCCGTGATTTCATTTTGCGTTCGTCATTACCGAGTGTTGAAACATTGATTACGCATCTATCGTAGCAATGATCTCTGTGATAAAATAATATCTGGAACGTGTTTAACCAGTTCTATCACATATGTGATAATGATTGGCACCAATATTGTTCTTTAATGTAGATTTTGTGTTTGATAATCTGGTGGGCTTAGTTATTACGTTTTTTAAATCGTATAAATTAATCAATGATTGTAACTTGTTATCTGATGTTTAAAGGTCAGAGTTCAAATCACCCAAAATTATTATGTTATTCGATATATCTAGAGCATTCTCGGCTGATTCATCTAATAAAGGCCAAAAGTTTTCTGGCAATTGTTCAGACCTATAAACACAACATAACAATAATTTAATTGTAATAATTTCAATATTCAGCCAAATAATATCAGCATCAAATAATATCATGTTGAGTGTAAATTAAAATCCCCCCACCCCGAATCTTTCTATCTTTACGGTATGGTAAATTATATCCAGCTATATCAATCTCTTCATTTTTAATGTTACTATCCAAATGGGTTTCAGTAAACCATAATATCTTAAAGTCTATTTTGAATCTAGTATCAATGGGACCCGGATTGGGATGAATGTCTATTTGTATGAGACGTGATACTAGAGCTACTATAATGTGAATTCTTTTTGAATTAAGAACAGGATCAATTTCAAATTCATATGGCCATCATTCTTAGTTACATATTTTATGGTAGAAGTTAAATACAATATTATAATACACCATGCAATATGTTCAATAAGCTTTAAATATACAAAGTCATTAAAACAATCAACAATTGAAAATGAAAAACTATAAACTATTTGGATAGACTTTCCGTGTACTCCAAAATAGTAACATTTATACATTTATGCATTAGCATGAACATAAGATAAATACATTTATATAGCGTGAACATTGGTGTAGCGGTAAGGTTATAGCAAAGTTTAAAAGTAAACTTTCTAGAATGAATATAAAATCTAGATGATAACAAATAAGTTAACCGATAACCATCACAATTAACGGCACATGTCTTATATGGTTTTCGTGTTGATAATTGTGTGTGGTGCGGTCTTCCTGCACTTTATAGTTGAACCATAGCCGAAAATAAGTTTGAAAACCCATCCTTATGAATTATCAATAAGATGCATCGTAACATGTAAAACATTACCAATACTAAAGCTGTGGGTTAAAACACAATTATGTTAAAAAGGATATGAATTTATTCAATAACCTATATTAAAGATACATTATGGGAGATAAGATAAAGAGATGGCAGAAAGAAGCGGGTGAAATGTTTGCATAGTCTCGGTCATCATTACTAAAATCATTAATATAAACAGCATAGTCTCGATTATCCACTTTTTTGATTAAATTATCAATAGCCGTTAGCGGCATATAGGAATCTAATCCAGCCAACATCGAAGGCTAGCCTTGACACCGAGAGTTTATTATGGTCTGGACTGGATAAGTTAATTAATGTCTAATTGATAATTTAGATAACATTTCAGGCCTAAAGAAAGACTTGTAATAAGCAGATGTTGCTCTTGCATAATGCATGTTTAACGAGGATATTCGTTGACTATATGGACAAGAATTCTTTCTCTGCCAGTATTAGTCCGGGAGCTAGGTGAGTTTTGTTCAACATGGAAGGTGCGGAAGGTTTGGCATGCTAGTGGTGTATTGCTGGGTTAGGAGACCCCAGAAACCCAATTCTTAAGTTGCGCCAGTGGTGGGTGTGGTACAAGGAGCCACCCATAGTACCCCCCAAAATGGGTTTATTCAACATGGAAGGTGCAAGTTCCACTTCAATGGCATTTGATAGAGGAATGAGCCCTGAATTAGGAAATGTAACTTAAGAATGGGATTTTTGGTGGAAAGGCCACTTAAGAAGAGGTCAAAGGTCACTAATTAGCAATTTTTCGATTTTACTGAAAACGAATTTTCCATTATCTCGTGATCTATTCCAAGTATATTGCACAAAACTACATGGACATTTTTGATACTGGTAGGAGCAAAAATATGAGACATAAAATTAATGAATTTTTAGCTAAAAGTATGTCATAATCTCAAAAATAACGAAAAAATCACTCGATCCCCATCGGTAATTAAAATGTTAATCAACATGAAAGGTGCGAGTGAGAAACCAAGCCTAAATTGTACGGAATGATATCAGAAATCATTATCATCAACTTAAGAATCAAATTTCTGATGGTCAGTGTACTTAAGAAGAGAATAATGCTGGTTTGCACCGAATGACCCCTAATTAGAAATTTAATTAACATGCAAGGTGCGACATTGGAACAAGGTGTAAACTGTAGGGACTGATGATAGGATTCACAACCACTAACTTAAGAATGAATATTTAGGTAGTAAATGAACTTAAGAACAGCAGATGTGACCAATAACCTTTAAAAAAATCGGTGTCAAGCAGAGCCATATGCCCACAATGCTATGTTTCCACTTGATCTGTGATAGTAACACTGATACATTAATTATCGCCCACTTCCTTCATACTAAGAGCCATTTAAAACATAGATCTATGTCATGTTATTGCAGATATCAATCAAGACCCAATCAACCAGAACCTAACTTAGGAAAGGCAACTGTCTTCATCAGAGGAAGCAGTGTCAAAAATCAGTGTCAAAGTCATCATCAGAGGTATCCTGATCAGAATGCTCAATGTCCTCTTCAACAAATGACTTCCGGAGTTCAGGACCATTAAAACGCATGATTTCATTCTGTCCTTCTCTCAACTATCTTCTGGCGATGGGTGCTGGGTAATTCCTGATTTATCAGCGCTTCCCGACATCTTTGCGACAAAAGATGCCCCTTTTGATTTGTAGTGACACTTGTGACACTTCTGAATCGCTATCATCGATGCCCTTTAGTTCCTCCAGAGAATTTTACATCTTGCCTTTGGTAACGATATCATTCACCGTGCATATGTATGGGGCTAAGCGACAAAAAATCCCCTCACTCATCAGGCATCGCTACACCGTGTTTGAGAAGACGTAATATGTCTAAGGCAAGATGTAAAAAGCTTCTGGAGAAACTGAAAAGGGCATCAATGGCAGTATGATTCCTCCCTGCGAATCAAAAGTGTCAATACAGATGACAAGGGCATTTTTGGTCGTAAAGATAAATCAGGAATTAACCAGCACCCATCGCCAGAAGATAGTTGAGAGAAGGGCAGAATGAAATGATGATGCTTAATTTGATGGAGATGGTTGCCTCTCCTAAGTAAGGTTCTGGTTGATTGGGTCTTGATGGATATCTGAAATAACATGACATAGATCTATGTTTTAAATGACTCTTAGTATGAAGGAAGTGGGCGGTAATTAATCAGTGTTACTATCAGCGATCAAGAGGAAAATTAGCATTGTGGGCATATTGCACTGCTTGACACTGATTTTTTAAGGTTATTGGTCACATCTGCTGTTCTTAAGTTCATTTACCACCTAAATATTCATTCTTAAGTTAGTGGTTGTGAATCCAATCATCAGTCCCTACATTTTAAAGCTTGTACCAATGTCGCGCCTTGCATGTTAATTAAATTTCTAATTAAGGGGCATTCGGTGCAAACCAGCGTTATTCTCTTCTTAAGTACACTGACCACCAGAAATTTCATTCTTAAGTTGATGATAATGATTTCTGATATCATTCCGTACAATTTAGGCTTGGTTTCTCACTCGCACCTTTCAACTTTCTTAAGTTGATGATAATGATTTCTGATATCATTCCGTACAATTTAGGCTTAGGCTTCCTCAATCGCACCTTTCATGTTGATTAACATTTTAATTACCGATGGGGTTCGAGTGATATTTTCTTTTTTTTGAGATTATGTCATACTTTTAGCTAAAACTTAATTATTTTATGTCTCATATCTTTGCTCCTAGCGGTATCAAAAATTTCCATGTAGTTTTGTGCAATATACTTGGAATAGATCACGAGATAATGGAAAAATCGTTTTCAGTCAAATCGAAAAATTGCTAATTAGTGACCTTTGACCTCTTCTTAAGTGGCCTTTCCACCAAAAATCCTATTCTTAAGTTATATTTCCGAATTCAGGGCACATTCCTCTATCAAATGCCATTGAAGTGGAACTTGCACCTTCCATGTTGAATAAACCCATTTTGAGGGGTACTATGGGTGGCTCCTCCTACCACACCCACCACTGGCGCAACTTAAGAATTGGGTTTCTGGGGTCTCCTAACCCAGCCATACACCACTAGCATGCCAAACCTTCCGCACCTTCCATGTTGAACAAAACCCACCTAGCTCCCGGACTATATATTTTAGGATGTATTACAATTGTTTGCGTCGTAAGTTTATTTGTACATTTAATATGTTATATACAATAATGTACTAAACAGTCAGTCTAAACATGGGCCTTTCTGTAATTTGATATTTTACCATGCTTCAGAAGCCACAAAAATTGGTACCATTGGCGGAGATAGGCATGGACTTGGTCCCATGGGTCCACATTTCATAAAGCCCCCCCCCCCTTATGATATCCAATATTTAAGACAAAATAAACATTTTACGATTGGTACACGAATCGTGTACCAATAATGCGTTTCAGCGCAATTTGTAACAAGCGACTCGAAGAATGAGGTTAAACATATTCCATGTCATGTCAAACCGTGACCCCATATTCTTATCTTGAGAGCATGCGCAATAAATACTATCGGTGTAGACTGGAATAACCAGACGTTAGAGATTGCCATTCGATTGAGACTTCTGGCGTATTTCGCTGAACATAACTGATTTTAAATTAGAGTAAAAACGGAAACGATTGAATGTAAATCAGTTTATTTAGATTGTTATATACGTTGCTACCCATTTGTGTCAATCTGTAGGTCCCAAATATTTGCGATTTAGCTCCTTTAAACATTGCACGAGTTTTCGTAGCCGTGTGATCACTAGTCACTCTTGGGCCTATACTGCACGTGAACGTAAATGTACATTATCTTACACAGAGTTAAAATCAGGCTTTTGCATTACCGCTGTGAAACAGATTGGCAATACTTAACATACCAAAGGATGAAAACCATTTGCAGGGGTTATATCAAGGAGTGAGGTCAGTATGTGCGACACAACATGCTGTTTAAAATACGCCCCCTTCTGCCAAACACCTTGGTAGAAGTCATTGAAATCTAAATATAGGATAACGCACCAGTTTACGTAACTCGGGCATATAATATATGACGAAATGAAATTTATGTAAGCTAGGGGTAAAAATTAAAATCTGTTTATGCGTTACCCTCTTATGTTCTCACTAAAATGTTCCTTTACATTGTACAGGCATTCACGGAGACTGCCACGCAACCGTTTAGAAGTAAAAAGTTGCCCAGTAAAATTATTTCGACAAGGATTTAATAGAGCGGTTCCTGAACGTATAGGACGAGTGTAAAGAGGCCTACGTTCAAAGCTGAACTAGGTCGTTTCTTATGGAAGGGGATCGACGCCACATTAAAAGACATGTAAACACGAGTAGAAGTTACTATGTCAGCATATGAAAGTGTTGTTTTGATGATTTTTCCATGTTCGATTTTACAAAATAGAAAAGTATTGTCCACTAACGAAAAAACACATGTACAAATGCGCCTTGTAACGTTTGTATTTTCTACATCTGATCTTTCAACTGTTGTAATTTCTACTAGTGCATAATCGACATATGTAACTTCGACATCGGTATTTTCTTCCAATGTAATTTCTCCACATGTCACATCCATCAAGGCGTGGTTCCGATTTTAGCCGAAGCTTGCGTCATAAAAACAAAACCTCCCTTCAAGTAGTCTCGGTCATCCAGACAATATGGCTCCTCCGCGATAGCTCCCTCGACTAACGGGCTTGGATGACCGAGGCTACCCTTCGAGGAAAGTCATTCCTACTACCAGAAAGTTGCATAGGGAGCATCAATAATTTTTAACGGAAGTTAACACTAACATATTGTTTTATGCTAAATTTTAATACAACTTTTAATAGTTTGCTTTCTTTTATATTTTTATGTGTCTTTAATTCACCATTTCTGGTGTTCATGTCGTTAACATAATTTTGAATGCATAGTCATAGTTTCGAATAAAGAACCGCCCCTGTCGTCTGCTCCACATTGGTGGCATCGTTCAATCGTAGCCATGGACAATAATAATCAGGTATATTTATGTTTGAATATCTTCCACAAAAAACTTGTTCTTAGAGCACATAAGCGTACAAATATACTACATAAGTGACACAGGTCTTTCTTCTTTTTTTGGTTGTCAGATAGTAGCACTATCTACACTACAGTTCTACACTCGTTCAGTCGTTGAGTCGTTATAGTTTCACGCGTAGACGCCGTAGATACCACATGGTCAATGAAATGGGGTTTAACGTCCTATTTTGATGTATTTTTTGTGTTGGCTAATGAAGACTGGCATATACCATGCAGGGTGCAATGAGGGAAATTTTGTCAGGACATCCATCAATAACTCGCCTAGCCCTAGCAAGACTATGTCTATGAAATGAATCACTAGGCCTACTACTACTAGTACTATCAGTATCTCTAACAATTTCCGACATTTCAGAAATCATAGAGAAAAGGAATGTCTTTAAACAAGATAAAATTGAGTAAGCAATCCAAAGAAAAAATGAAATGCAAGAATAATTTCAATAAGACTTAAAATGAGCGCGCATAGATTTCTTCCCCCATTCCAGACATCTTGCAAAAATGGAATATCTTTCGATCAAGATGAAATAGAGCAAACAATCGCAAAATAAAACGGAACGAAGTGCCGGAATATTTGTATTTAAAGGAGCTAAATCGCTAATATTTGGGACCTAGAAATTGACCCAAATGGGTCGTAACGCATATAACAATGTAATATGATTGTATATAAACTGATTTACATTCAATTGTTTCCGTTTTGACTCTAATTTAAAATCAGTTACGTCCAGCGAAAAAAGGCAAGAGCCTCAACCGAATAGCAATTTTTAGCGTCTAGATATTCCAGTCTATTGCGCATGCTCTGCAGATAAGATATGGCGTGACCGTTTGACATTAGTTGTGGAATATGTCTAGCAGGCTCGTTCTTTCTGGTCACTTGTTACAAACGACACTGAAACGCACTATGGTACACGATTTGTGTACCAATGGTAAAATGTTTATTTTGTCTTAAATATTGGATATCGGAAGCCTGCATTTCCCCGGTAAGATCACACCATCAATGTTGATTTGCATTGACAAATAATTCGCGTTTTCAACGTGTAAGACTTTGGATGATATTGAGTTAGAGACTTAGCTACTTTAAGCAGATCCCCCGACATTTAAAAAACGTCATAGAAAAACAAAATGTCTTTAGACCAAGATGAAATTGAGTAAACAATAGCTAAATAAAACGCAACGTAATACCAGAATAATTTTATTTAAAGTTTAGTCGTACTGTAAGACAATAAATCAACGTGGACAGTCACCGTATCCTTTCCCGATCCATCCAAGTAGCCATTTTGAGGATTGTCTAAAACGTTTAAAGGTATAACGTCCGACCAGACATATGTAGAACCAGGCTTAAATCTGTATCTGATATTTTCTAACCTGATCGACTCCTCGTCGTTTTGGTTATTTTCTAATGTCAGGGAAAAATTGACCAACACCCAATTGAGGAAATGACCAGTTTCGGGCATTGCTAACCTTAAGACGATTGATAGGTTGGTATTTCCAGGTTTACACTCGATCAACCAGGGTAAAGATTGGACGTTCAGCATTTCAATATTTTCTATGTAGGTAGGTCTATCAGCATCGATTCTTTCTTTCGCCAAAGCTCGACCAATATTTGTATCCAGAAATTCCCTCACTAACGCAAGACCTTGGCCGGTTTCGAGAGTTTGTCTGAGTAAAGCGTTCCCAGTATTCGAAGGCAGCCAATTTCGTATCTCAGACTGACCAGTTGTGGTGTTCAGCAAGTCTTGTAAAAGCGCTTTCCCTTGGTGAGACGTAATTATAAATTCCTTCATCAAGGAGAGTCCAAATTGCTCAGTGAGTATCTGCTTTAATAGATTTCTTCCTATTCCCCCTATCAAAAATTCTTTCACTAAAATTTTACCCACTTGGTTTGGAAGGAATTCTTTGATCAACTGTCGTCCATTTAAAGTTAGAAGAAATTTTTTAAGCAGCAAAATTCCATCAGGATTTGAAATGAACTCCCCAACCAGTGATTTACCGATTTCGGACCGTACGAATTTTTTAACCAATGGCAGTGCGCACTGCTTGGACAGAATATGTTCTACCAGTGATAGCCCTTTCTCGGTGATTAGAAATTTAGATACCAAAAGAAGTCCAGATTCAGTATTCAAAAAGGCTCTTACCAACTCCAAGCCCTGTTCGCAAACAATAAACTGGTAAAAAACAATTTTTCCACAAGAAGTGGAAAAGAAGGATTTAAGCCACACTTGTCCAGGCTCTGTCGACAGTAACTCTTTAAGAAAGGCTTGGTCATATTGCTTTATTAGAAATTCTTTGACAAACATGCTTCCCCGCTCTGTTCCAAGGACCTCGGCCAGAAGGCGCTGTCCATTTTCATTACCCAAAAGTTCATGCATCATTATGTAACCATCCCTTGATTGGAGTAATTCCTGTATTTGATTAGTAACTTCGTATCTCACCAATCCCTTGATGTCTTCTTGGTGGTTTCTTTCAGCTTCTTCCTCTGCTGTATCATCAGCTATGGCTTCGGGTTCTTCAATGAGATCGACCGATTTCTCGATGTTTTCTTTAGTACTATCGATCTCGTCGACCTTCTCGACCTCGTGAACATCGTGGACATTGCCTCTGGACAAATCTGCCAACAAACTACTCTCGTTTACGTCTAAGGTACCAAGCATTTCCATTAATGACGTAATTCGGAATTCGTCCAATTCAGCTTCATTAAATTCAACTTTCTGTAATTCGGGAAATTCCAACGGGGCCTCCAGTTCTTCTTGGTTTTGTTTTTCTTTCTGAAGTTTACGCGAAGACTCTGACATGTTCCGAACCGATGTGTTTGCTATGGACTGTTTTATGCGTTTTGAAATGGACTCCAATTCTGATTTACATGCCTTCATTTTCTGAGAATGTACCTTTATTTGTTCGTTGTTTTCGTAATATATTTTACCATTGGTTTTTTTAATATCGTCACCGAGACTTTTTATTTTATCGCACAAACGTTTTACCTGCTCATCTACCCTCGTGTTGATTTGTGCCGTGGACCTGCGGATCTCCTTTTGTTCATGGTGCAAAGAATCGATATTAGACTTACATTTTTGAGTTTGTTCGTCTACTTCCAACTTCATGTGTTTAAGCTCGCGTTCTACCTGTTTTCTACGATCCTGGATCAAGTCCACCTCCACGTTTAGATTTTTTAGAACACAGGTCGTGCATATATACTGAGAGTTCCCAGGGCAATAAAATGCAGCATCTTTGTGTTTATGGAGGTCACAGACATCTCTGGTTCGTGGTGGTGTTATTTGTCTGAAAGAACAATGAATTATATTTAACCCTAAAGGAACATTGTCACTGTCTACACTAATCCCATTTGTAGACAAACCGAAGTGGACCTGGCGTAATTTCAAACATTTTTGAAACAGATTTCACATGACTAACAAGCAGTTGACAGTTCAAGGATCAAATCCGAAAAGGCAGCGCCACACTAGTATGGTTTCAATACTGCATATTTATTTGTTTCATCTTCCAAAATCAAGGGGAATAATTAAAAAAATATATATACACTTTATGTAAGGTATTATCTTGTTACACACCGACTATACCGAGCTTTTGTATTTACCTTATTCTTATTGGATGTCGTGCGGTACCTGAGTGTCCATCATCATCATCGTCCAAACTATCCCCGTCAGTTCCTGGAAAACAATTACAGACAATAACAGTATGACCGATAGCGTGGTAGTGGCACCTTTGCGTGGGATCCACCTTGGCTTACACGGCACTGGACTTAGATGTAAGGAGACCCTAGGCTATTACACTTATGAGGTCCTCTCCCGATCCCCAACAAAATTGATGAAAGTCGACGACGATAACAGATGTTTAAGACGACAGTGAGTTTAAGAAAGGAATGTGATCTTGCCAAAACTAATATACATCTTGGTAGGAGGACTTTAAGATTTTGGGGCCCTTGACTTCAAACTACCAATTCGGCACACCAAAGGGTGGTTGCGGATGTATTTTGGATAGACACCTCCCCCATTCCCGGCTTTCGACCCACATATAAAACCCAAGAAGCCCTGTTAATTAATCCACTCAATCACAAATAAAGGTATATGAACCCAAAGATTAGAACGTATTTATTAAAAATTTGGTAATGATACGGAATGACTATTTTCAGTTAAGTGCCAGCCCTTTCGAAAGTGGTCCAATCGCTTAGCTTATATCGGATTTAGGGACTCAACAGGTCCAGTGAAACAGCCGTAATATAAATGATTTTGTGGAAGAAATAAAATTGAGGGATTTCTGTGAGAACATTTTCTATAAATATAGTAGGCAACTGGTAGTTGTGTGTGTTCTATAGTTACCTTTTATTCAATTTCATATTATAAATCCGTAATGTTTAGCTAAATATCATTAATAGAGCTTTGGTTGACTTTGTTCTCTTAAACCAAACACATCAAACTGATAGGAAAGCGGAACTTTGGTTTTCATTCTATTTGGCTTTTTCGGACCGTCCCAGATATGCGCTGGTGCTGGCCATCGTTTAACGATTTTTCTCGAACTGGTCAGTTTCCTCAGAAAGACTTTTCTTCAAAATCACAGTACGTAGAAGGAGACTGTAACCCATATTATAAGTATTAATAAATTCTGGTTAATCGAAGTTCGTATGGCGAATTACCCATAATTAAAGAGGCGTGTGGTACGTCTACCAGGCCTTATGAGAAGTGGACGGTCGCGTGTCAATATCGAATATATAAATATTTAATTGGTGTCAGTAAAGCGACCGAGTTAAATAAAAGAAAACGATTGCTCACCGCTATCCTGACTATGAGATGTATTTCCGTTGTAACCACCACCACCCTGACTATCAGATGCTTTCTTGCTCCGAGCATCATCGTCATCCTGGGCATCAGTTGGGTTTTTGTTGGCATCGACATCATCCAGATCATTAGTTGTTGTCTGGCTAGCATCACCATCCCTACCACCCTGACCATGAGGTGTGTTGTGTTTGTCACCATCGCCGCCATCTTGGGCTTCGGTTGATTCTTTTTTGTCATCTTCACGTTCCTGGCGACCAGGTGTTGTCTTATTGTCACCAGCACTCTGACCATCAGGAATGTGCATCGTTTCAGCACCAACACCACCCTGGCCACCAGATGCGTTGTTTGATTTATCAAGCCCTAAAGTCATTCCAGACATACTAGTATTCCTTTCAGTGTTTTGAAATGGGACAGATCCTGTTTATAAAAGAAAATACAGGTCATTTATTCTTCAAAGGGATATCAAATGGCCACGGATTTAAATAGATGTATCTTGACATGCAATAAAACACATCATCGTGTTCATTGTGCATCTAAGTTCAATAAAAGTTTCGGACAAATCTGGAGGGGTAATATATCACACCGATTCTTACAAAATCTGACTTAATATACGACGACATTATTTTGGCTATAAACTGTGTTTAATCAAGGGAGCTGCGGTGGTACAGTGATTAAGATGCTGGCTCGGTAACTACAAGATCTTTACTCCATTTCTAACCATTCCAGTTAAGATCTGAACTCTGAATACCGAATACAGATAACGTTTATACAATTACAGAAATTAGAAGCAATAACTCTGTAACTACTTTTGCGAAATGAACGAAATCGAACGGTATGTTACTTCAATACAAACTATTTTACGATTTGCTTTAATGAAAAATAGGCGATGGGCTTAACTTTGATTAGTCAGTGATCAGTACACATATAAGTGCGAACGGGTGAGTGTACGGACGGAGAAGACGATAAAAAATATAGGAAAACAGTCCAGTGGAATTTTAAAAGTGAGTGGACACAATTGGAATTACCTGTTTCTGAGTCACCAAAAACGTAATTCTTCTCACCGGCAAAATCCTGTAGCTCTTGCACTGTAGGTTCCCCATCTTCCTATAACAATGAATTATTTTGTAGTTTATTTGTTGAAAATGCAACACGCGTTTTGATTATGTGCGTTCTCAAAATACATGAATTATTATCTGGAATTGATAAATAATAAATAATGTTGTAAGGGTCACAAAGACCAATGCGAGCTTTGAACAGTGGTTTAAAACGTGGGTCCATCTTGTCGTCTGCAAGACGCCGTCTATAGCTAAATATGACGATAGTCTGAACCTGAAGCTAAAGCCTATGTCCCACTGGGTGAAAATCATCGGCGATGTGAAAATAAACAAATTTTTTCCCGATGGCTCTCGATGTTCCCGATATTTTTACCCAAAAACCTGAGTAGTCCCATTAGAAATGGCTTGCAACGTGGCAGTTATTCGCCGAGGCCAAACATGTCCAGTGGGACCTAACCCTTACGTCCTCGGGCTATGAGGTAGCGTTAGTTGCCTGCAGTCCAGTTGTTTGACAAAAATATGCTTTGTGTCAATATACGAAGTTCTAAGCCTATCTGTGAAATACCTGTAAAAGTCGATGGTTTCATTTATTTTTCAACATCTTCGAGGTGTACACACGTTTGCCAACGATGTTGCATGGGTAGCCTCTAGATGTTCGGATGGGATATAAAACCAGGGTCCCGTGTACACGTTGGCGTGCACGTAAAAGAACTCTCGACCGCACGAATTCAAAATAAATAGTAGACCGTTGTAACGTCTGTGTTTGGGCCAAATATCCCCTCTAGCATAATGCATGCGTATGTACGTTTTCATTATCCTGTTTGATACTGAACATTTGATTTATTTTCTCTTTATTACAATCGCCACTCACTTACAGTATTATTTAGAATTTGTCATATTATCTATTTTAGCGAGAAATGACATAGTTATAGATGCTTTTGTAGTAGGGTGGAATTTGTAAATGTTTTGTTATATATATGTAAGTAAATAAAGTTTATGTATGGTGTATGTGTTTGTATCTGTTTGGTGTTTTGGAATCTAGCCAAGATGTGGTGTCCAGTGTGTTGTGTTGTAATTGTGTTCACAGTTCTTTTAATGAGTTTACCTGGTAAACTATCTAGTTTTCTCGCCATTTTCGCCCTTTTCCCAGTGGTATTTATTTATTGTGGTGTTTGTTTTATTTTAGCTTGTATAATATAGCTCTCCCGTACTGGTTGATATAATTAAGACACCTTTCCCAGGGTATGTTTAGTTTTCTTGTTCTCCTCTTCTTTCTAAATGTTTTTAAATGTATTTAGTTCGTATTTTATGTTTCTTTTGTATATTTTTTTATATTTTGATTATGTTCTGTCTGGCATGTTTGTAATTATATGTATTTATATTTTCAGTGTTTTCTTTGTGCTTTTTTTGGTTTTAATAAACTGTTTAAACCAGTGCTTCTCGTTTGTATCCCCTTTAAAACCTACAAATTCCCGAGTGATAAAGCTCCGGATACACTTTCTTTCAATTCAAATATTTGTCATGAATTTAGCCTCAAATTTTAAATGAACTAAAGTTTTACAGATATACTAGTAGAAATACTGTTTTGAGAGAACTTATAGCCCCTACTTTGTTGTTCAATCCGATTCAGTTTGTTGAATCAAATGTTGTTTAAACTATTTGTTTCGTTCCATCCGAACGACTGGGCACTGTTCTTTCCAGCCCCAACCCCCGGTCTGTACCACTGACAAGAGGAAACCGCACCGGACCTGTTTTGTACATGTCTGTGTAAGTGTAGTCAATGAGAAAATGAACGGCTGTTAAAGAGGTCGAATTTAATATTTATATACATATAGTAATTATAGCGATGATGATGATAACTAGCTTTGAAGAGTTACTACGTAATTTTGATTTTCAATAATTGTTTTACTTCAATAAACAATTAGTTTTTGTCTTACATGTATATCTATATTTGTAAGCAAATTACACAATTATTGATATGTTTGTAATTTGGCCTTAAATCATATCTGAACTAGAAGTTTACAGCTACATGTATATGTAGTAAAAATACTGAAATTGAAAGGGTATGTGGGTTGTAGGCTTATATTCTAGTGGAAAAGATCACGTGGTTTCAATGCGATTTACAACACTACTGACAAATTCCGGTCGCCATTACTTCATAACCATATTGCTCAACCAATGTCAAACATATCGCCTGGCTCATCAGATTCTAGCCACCCAATTCATAATTTGTGGGTAAATACCCGCCCACCAAACATCGCAGGCCCCTGGGACTCCAATAACGGTATAAATGTTGGACTTGCGTGCTTATACATGGCCTGGTGCGTCAGTAGTCACCACGCACGTGAAATACTGTTATCAATTGCAAACATTTGACATAAAGGGGGATAAAACTTTTTTTGTTACCCGTTAATGATTTTCCAAAAATTCCTTGTTCAACTTCAGCATTTATGTTTTGGGTATTTTTGTTTAAATCAAAATCTTACCAATTCCTATTGGGTGTTTTCGCCAATATTTAATTTTATGCTAACTTCACGATATAGCATTTACATGACAATTGTGACGATTTTCATCAGGCGTCAAATCGAGTTATTGCAAACAATTTGCTTGGAACACTCGGGATTTGTGTTCCTAGTGTTATAAGTCTTCCAAGCTTGTTTAGCTTCGAGGATCTTGCAGTGGAATTGTCTTTCTAAGCAATCTAGAAATTTGCTTAACCCTCGATGAGAGATGCCAACAATACTGGCAATATGTCGATCAACCATCACAATATCATGCATACCAGTAATGTTTTCTTGAATAGATGCTGTTGATGGCCTTCCACGACGGGGGTCATCCTCAAGGCTCTTTCGGCTATGCATACATTCCACAACAGCTCACCTCTTTACTATGAAAAAGAAAGGGGTATCATCCCCTAAAGGGGAGACCATGTCGACTCGTATCTGTGTTGGGGTTAGTCCTGTCAGTTGCGGGTACCTGATGACAACCCTATAGCCAGTTTTGTCCATTTCTGGTGATTTCATGGGTAAGTTCACAAGATAGTCTGGTACGAAGACAATAATAAAACTATAGTTGTAGTTCTTTTGGCTATGCTTCATTCAGTGTTTGTACTTGTTGGTGGCAAAAGTTTGTTTCAACCCAATCGACTTTTCCTTTTCAGACTTAGTACTTTTAAGCGCATGCTCTCGAAATATGGCTGATTTTATTCTCAAATTATGTGAATGGAATTAGTTAGGGCTAGATGCAGTGAATGGAATTAGTTAAACTAGGTGTTGTGAATGGGGCCAGTTAAGTGCTAAATATAGTGAATGTTACCAGTTAGGGCTAAATGTGTGAATGGGATCAGTTAAGGCTATATATAGCTAGATTTAGTGAATGCAATCAGTTAGGGCTAGATGTAGTATCAATCAGTAAAATATTCGTTTTACCTGTAGACTTTGTTGGTTACTTTCATCTTGGAGTTTCGGTTGGAGAGATCGGCTAGTTAACTCTCTGTCTGTTTAAAAAATATAACCCATTCCAGGTGTTAACAAGACTTTAATAATATGACAGATAGTGAGTGATAACCTCGTTTATTTTTTCCTCATAGTGAACAAGTTGGAGATGGTTGGTTAAAACAACTTCGAATATGTCAAGTTGCCGTCGTGAACGGATGGCTCCGGGCATGAACGGTTGATTCCGGTGACAAACGAACTGTCCACCAGACGAGAAGACGAAGAGAACGCGAGTGCTAGAATTACGGGGAAAAAAAATCTAGATTTACCAAACAGGTATATGTTCAAATTATGACACCTGTAGAAAAAGTTTACTGACCGTTATTGGCAGTCCCAGATGTCCGTCCATCCACTCTCGAGTTCTGGTCACTACTGGTGGTCAAGGGTCTATGATTTTCGTTTGTTGGCAGTCTTTTGGGCACCTTTCGTTTTGGGTCCATAGTGGAATTCTCAGCAGTTGTAGTGGACTGTGTCGGTATCTGATTTGTGTTTGCAGTGTCTGTATTTGCCGAATTAGATGTGGTAGGTGTATCCTGCGATGGTGTAGTTGATGTAGAAGATGCTACTGTTGTAGAATCCGGGGCGTTAGTGACTGGCGGTTTTGGGTCCATAGTGGAATTCTCAGCAGTTGTAGTGGACTGTGTCGGTATCTGATTTTTGTTTGCAGTGTCTGTATTTGCCGAATTAGATGTGGTAGGTGTATCCTGCGATAGTGTAGTTGATGTAGAAGATGCTACTGTTGTAGAATCCGGGGCGTTAGTGACTGGCGGTTTTGGGTCCATAGTGGAATTCTCAGCAGTTGTAGTGGACTGTGTCGGTATCTGATTTGTGTTTGCAGTGTCTGTATTTGCCGAATTAGATGTGGTAGGTGTATCCTGCGATGGTGTAGTTGATGTAGAAGATGCTACTGTTGTAGAATCCGGGGCGTTAGTGACTGGCGGTGCTGATACTGAGCTGGATGTAGCAGAAGCTTTCGAAACATCAAAAGGAGGAGTCTGGTCCGATGACATGTTGGTTGAAATATCCTAAAAAGAAATATATGTTTGTATTAAATCAGCTATACTAGTCATATTGCTATATCTATTAATAATACAATTGTTAAAAACATAAATCACACTCTAAATAGGTCATTGATAAGGTGTCACCGTGCACTTGTCTAGCCTATTACTTACAATACACTATTACATGTGTTTTGTTTACGCCGCCAAGCAGCATTTTCACGGTTAATGATTTCAGGGGTAACAATGACACAAGGGATTGCTGCCAAAATGACATTACAATCATACCCACATTTCCTTCCAGTGGGGGGATCACGTGGCTAAGTGGGTAAGACGCTGGCTCGCTAGCCTGGAGGTCAGGTGTTCGATTCCTGCATTGGCCGAGAAAGTTCATTCAGATTTTCCGGCGTGGTTTCCCCTTGTCAGTGATGCAGGATGGAGGGCCTGACAAGGACAGCTGTCTAGTCGTTCGGATGGGACGAAAAACCGAGGTCCCGTGTACACATTGGCGTGCACGTAAAAGATCCCTTGGCAGTTGGAATTCGATATAAGAGTAGGCCGTAGCGCCGCTGCCCGGGCAAAATTTCCCTCATAGCACACTGTATGGCGTATTCCCGTCTTCATTAGCCCAGGTTAGGAGCAGAACAGTAGGACGTTAAACCCATTTCATTTCATTTCATTTCCTTCCAGTGGGGTGATTCCAGATTAACCTACCGAGCAAACGCCACGATACAGAAATTTCCACGAAATGTTCTAAAAGTGTGTCTAGGGATGATATATAATGGAATGTCCACCTGGAGAAATGAAAAAGAAGATAACATTTGAATACAATAAGATTGTCTTGAATTTAGAACTTTAAATCAAAAATATAATCATAATCTAAGTAGATCATTGATAAGGGGTCACGGTGCACTTGTCTAGTTTCCCGTTTACAACACACTATTATAACCCTACTTGTAATAACAACACTGGCAAGAAGAAACCACGTATATTGGTGATATATATATGAATTTTTTTATTTTTTTTTAAAAATCAAATTGTGACCTCTAGAAGGTGCCCACAAGATAAAGACGGCGATTTGCAAACAATCAAGGACCATAATCCATGAAATTACGGTTTTACAAAACAAAATGTGAACCGACAGACGGACGGACGTCCGCAAGTACATGGACGACGACAATATACGTCCGCATGAAAATGTAGGGATATAAAACTTATCTACTAATATATACTTTTAAACTGTTGGCGCATAGATCTGATAATGGGGACAATATTGGACAACATTGGTGTAGTCTTGAAGTGCGTGGACGAATAAAACAAACTCGACGCATGTTAATCTGTATTCAGATACTGCAACGTGTATTATAATGGCAACCGTCCTAACAAAGGCCAACCTCGTGAGTTTTCTGTCGGTCCATCATCTTCAGAAGAAGGATCGATTTCGCTGTAACTCCGCATATCTTATCAAGGCCTTCGCGTAATACCTTACATTTTTCTGCACTGATTTCGATTGGTTCTTGGCCCAGCTGGGGACCTCTCAGATTCGTCGATAGAAAATATCATCGCGAATACCAAGTCGCGTACTTTCCAACTAAAATGTCTTGCTATGATAATCGAGTTGCAATGTTCAATGTCAAGTTTCCTAAATGTCGTGGTGCTTAATAACGATAAGAGTATACTTATCGAAACGTTGTGCTTTTAGAATAAAATCAAGTGATTGTTTCCTATAAAAACTGCGCTCTGTTAATGTTATTGTTGTTCGTTTAATTGTTATGAGGTTTATTTGACAAATGTCATATAATCAATAACAATGGCATAGTTATTCCCTAGTTTGTCATAGTAACGCATTATGAGTGACGTGACGTCATACTTTCAAAAGCTTTATGATTATCATTCTGAACATCAGAGACACGCTGCCATTTATTTTTCAAATTGTTGTTCAAACCATCTTTACGAAATAGGGGTAACTGGCAAAGGCGTGTTCGGGTAGGCAATCCTGTCCTAATAAATGCAAAACCAACAGAAACCTGAAATGGTTGATAAAGTTTGTTCTTTTTTCCTGCTGCCCTTGCTTTGTTCCAAATCGACCAATCCTCCTTGCTTGTTGGTCCTCAGCTGCCGTGGGACAGGAAGTCAGTTATAGCGCAGTTGATCGACTGATTGTTGCCGGTGTAACCTTGTCGGTTACTTTCCTCGATTGAAGGTTGAGAGTCTCATGCCTCTCTTGCGAGGGACTAGATATGGGTGTCTTTCAAAACCCTCTAGACCGCCCGTTGTAAAAACGGTCTAAAATCACTGGTTTCTTCTGGCTAGATCGTTTGTCTAGTGGCTAGGACTATCTTCTTTATATCTTTTGTTGATTCGTTTCTAGCTCCATGTGAAATCCTTAAGCAAGGCTGACGCTTGCACGATTTCGTGGCACGCATTGGCACGACTCGAGTCGTGCCAGTGCGCAAACTAGTCGTAAACTGGCGTGAAGTGTGCGTAAACCCGTCGTGACTGCGTGCCATGTCGGTACGAGAATTTTGAAATGTGATGATACGGTGTTTTGTGTATCATTAGAAATGTCGCTTCGAAAAACTAGAACGCATTAGGCCTACCACAAAGACGTGCCCGGAGGAGTGCTGAGCAATGTTTTAAAACATAAGTTAATATAAGTTGGTATAAGTTAATGAACAAAATAGGCTACACTGTTACTTGATTGTAGAAAAAAAAGGTGACTTTTCTGTATTTGGATTCTGTCACTCCGGAGAGAGAGAGAGAGAGAGAGAGAGAGGGGGGGGGGGCACTTGCGTAAATAAATAAATGAAATTAATTATTAAATCAGACCTTTTCTCATTATTCACTTTAGTAAGCATAGGCAAGTATATATGATTGCTGGTAGGCAGTAAAAACTTTTAAACATTGTTGAATGAACCATTTTAAAATTAATCATTGTACATTTACCATTGAAGTCAATGGGCAAATAATTGCTAGTCTGAGTCCTGATGATATAAAGAAGCATGGCCGACTCGGGATGTTGATATTTTTTCAACGGCTTATTTCCTGAAGTTTTGAATGGAAATGGTAAGAATACTGCTTTTTTATTGCCCAGCAGTAAGTTTTTTGACTATTTGGTATCAAAATAGCCATGATTGGGGGTATCCGTTGGTTGAGTGTGAATTTTGGGTTGTAAATGTGTAACATTTTGTTCACAATGATATCAAAACATGGTTAGGTCTAAATATTAAGGCCAACTCAACTCCAGATTTGGTCTAAAGTCACGAGATGTAAACAAGACTGACCCTAACCCTAACCCAAGACCCAGTCCTTACCCTAACCCTAACCCACAATCTTGTCAAAAAGCATGTAGCCTAGGCCTAAGCCAAGACCTAGTTCTGACCCTAGCCCAAACCCACAATTGTGTCAAAAAATCATGTGCCCTAACCCTATTTACATGTTGTGACCTTGAACCAAGTCTGCAGTTGGCCTTAACATTTAGACCTAACATGTTTTTGACATCATACAATGAAATGTTAACATGTACACTCCAAAATTCACACCTGTGTGACTTTTGACCAAACATGCAGTTGGCCTTAATATTTAGACTGAACCTCAAAACATGGCATCTACCTTTGAGATTGGCTTAGACTTATGTGACACTCAAGGTTTACTTTTTTACTGATTGTTAACTGGTTTCTTTTTGGAGGGCCAGTGACGGGCTGTTCGCGAGAAATAAAGAGGTTTATTTCTATTTCCAGTTGAAACAATATTTTTTTCTTATTTTCTCACTGTTTTTTATTGCATATTTATCCCCAGCCTCCTATCATTTCAGGTGCCAGGGCAATGTTTCATAGAGTGGAATGATTGACCTCAACACAAGTATTAAAAAAAAAAGAAGCAAAACAGGTGAGATAAATGTGCATTTCATACACTTTAAGAAGTACATCCAACCTCATCCCCACTTCTGCTCACTAATAGTAATGGGCTGGAAATTTGGTACTGCACAGGCCTGTCTTCTCCCCTTGACATTTAACTGAATGACAGAATTCCACATTTTGACCATTTTCTGGATGTCAATGACCATTTCCCTGGATAGTATTCGCCCCAGAATTCTCATTGTCATCCAAATTTAACATTTCAGGTCTACATCTCAAAACCTGATCTCTTCCTGGACTGGCTTTAGGAGAACGATGATGCATATCAATTTCATCCCTGATCTCTATGACACCTGTGGTGGAAGTGGAGGGCAAATCGTAATCAGTTTGGGTTCCAGCCCCGAGGACCTCTGTAAACTTTGCTTTTTGGTGATGACTTAATTTCCGAGCTTGAAAAGGACGCTTGTGTGTTTATCATGGCCTCTCATATTGGAAGATAACATTAATGGCTTGTGTGTTGATCGACGGTTGTGCATATCTCTTGGTCAGGAAAGTTGTAGGCACCATCGCCATTGTAAATCATTTGACAGGCCCGAGTGAACGGGGCGACCTATGATTGGTCAGCAATGTATCAGATTCCATACCGGGGGGTGGGGATGAAAAAACTGTTGTAGTGTTACATAATCAGATTATTTCAACTTACTTATCCTGTGGAAATACAGCTATATAGGAGATATTTTGAAATTCATAGGCACTGCATGTTTCAACATTTTAGATTTGACCACAATTTGGCACTTGAAACTATGTTAACAGAGAAAAACTGTGTGGTTTTCGATGAAAGTGTTAAAAGTCTAATATTGCATCATGATTACTGTTTTAAAGTATTTTCGTGTTTGATTTATATTGAATTCATCTCATCTTTTTGAAGAATGCATTTATGTTCAAAAATAAAAATGTTCTGTGGAATTCAAAATTCGTGTGCTTTTAAATTATCAGATTCCAAACTGGGGGTAGGGATGAAAAAGCTGTTGTAGTGTTACATAATCAGATTATTTCAACTTACTTATCCTATGGAAATACAGCTATATAGGAGATATTTTAAAATTGATAGGCACTGCATGTTTCAACATTTTAGATTTGACCACAATTTGGCACTTGAAACTACGTTAACAGAGAAAAACTGTGTGGTTTTCGATGAAAGTGTTAAAAAGTCTAATATTGCATCATGATTACTGTTTTAAAGTATTTTCGTGTTTGATTTATATTGAATTTATCTCATCTTTTTACAGAATGCATTTATGTTCAAAAATAAAAATGTTCTGTTTAATTCAAAATTCATGTGCTTTTAAATTTCTGTCTGAAATTCTGCAGTTTTCTGATGTATTATAGTGTTTGCAGAATGCCGCACAGCTCATCTGAAAATGCATAGATTTTCATATTCTTTGGCCAGGGAATTGCATATATGTTTGTTTATTAGATAACAACAGATTTGTTTAAACTGCAGAAACATGTGAGGTATATAGGACTAAGACTAGTAATTATTTCCCCATATTGGACGAATGTAGTGCGAGTTATAAATAGACAATTTTTCCCTTAATTTTTTTCTCCCCTCTTCCTGCATTTTTGGGTTGACTTTTTGGTCTAGAATTGGAGAAAAGGGATCAAATTTGCAATTTCATAGCAGTTTTGGGTAATACTGATGATATTACAGCGGAGGGATAGGGGGTGTAAAGTGTCTTTCTGCAGAGCAATCATTGTGTCGGAAGTGAGATTTTCACCCCTGTCAACTTCAAATCCGTGGTAGCAAAAAATCTAAACGGTCAACCCCCTACAAAATTATGATGAGGAGATTGCCAAATGTTGTCCCCATTGTGCCTATAAAGATTGGAACCAACGGAATGTTGAGCAAAAAGCTACAGCCTGTGATGTTACAGTCATTTAACATTGAAGTCAATGGGCAAATAATTGCTAGTCTGAGTCCAAATAGTCAGCCACTTGATGCGTACTAGTCTTATGCGCATTGTACTTTGCAACTCCGTCATGTTTGATGTCTTTGCCCCCCCCCCCCACACACGCCCTAGCTCAGTTGCTTGTCCCAGGGCCCATATGGCTCTGTCGTGAGCCCTGCTGCTGTTGTTTGAATTTGCCGACGCTATTCCACATTTTTTGTAAGATTGGTTTTTAATATTTTTTGTCTATTCCATTTAGATGTATGGTAAATGTAGTAAACTATTTATAACGTTTCCTTTTGTGGAGTTTCACTTCTGTTTTAGCTTAAACCAAACCAAATTTCTGTGCAGCGGACAATAGTTTTCATCCTTTTGTATTTGATAATCCCCTACCATGAGAACAATGGGGGGGGGGGCAGATTGACCCCGTTGCATTATCTGCCCATATATGTCAATTTAAAATCAATTAATCATCTTACCTGTAAGACACGCCTTGGCCTTGCTATGCAGATATTGAGTTTTAACACAATATTGCGGAAATAAAACTTTGCCTTTCCTTATTTACCAAAATACAACAATGTTGCAAGTCAACGTTAAGAATACGTCTAATATGGTATGGTGTTTAACGTCAACAGTTATTAAAGATTGGGGGCACAGTATGTTGTCGTATTAATTTCTTAGAAATTCTACTTTCACTTTCGTTTTCGCATGTCTTCGCTCAGGGCATTTTATTGTCAATCATTCAAAGCTACCCGAGCGTGACTGAAACTGTCAGCGAAAGGCGAATCTTGGATTCTGTGTCATGCGGAGAGAAAGAGCGAGAGAGAGGGGGGGGGGTCACCAGGGGCGGATCCAGAGAGGGGTTTGGGGGGTCCGACCCCCCCCCCCCTGCTCAGCTGCATAATATGGTATGGTGTTTAACGTCAACAGTTATTAAAGATTGGGTGCACAGTATATTGTCGTATTAATTTCTTAGAAATTCTACTTTCACTTTCGTTTTCGCATGTCTTCGCTCAGGGCATTTTATTGTCAATCATTCAAAGCTACCCGAGCGTGACTGAAACTGTCAGCGAAAGGCGAATCTTGGATTCTGTGTCATGCGGAGAGAAAGAGCGAGAGAGAGGGGGGGGGGGTCACCAGGGGCGGATCCAGAGAGGGGTTTGGGGGGGTCCGACCCCCCCCCCCCCTGCTCAGCTGCATAATTTTTTTTTTTTTAAAACCACCTTTCTCTTATGAGAAAAGTGTCATAATTGTGCTTTATCCTTTATCGTCAGATGTACGACAGGATGGGCACTCAAAGCGCGAGATAATGATATAGACATAGATGATATCACAATGCTTTGCATCAATAAAATTGAATCACAATGTCGTCGTATTAATTCATAATAAAAATTGGCGTCAAACAAGAGGTTGGAATTCTCTGTTTAAAAAGCTCAATGTGTAGGATATACGCCAAAATGACAATAGGGACAATGTATTTCTCAAAAAATTTCAAGCCGAGGGGGCGGGGTACATTTTCTCAGGAACCTGGCAATTAACCCCCTCCTGCAAAAATTCCTTGATCCGCCCCTGGGTGTGTGTGTGTGGGGGGGGGGGGGAAGGGGGCTATGAGAAAAGGGCAAGGGTATAGCGTATGGATGTGTCAAAATATCGAAGCACGGATATATTTTGAATTACGTATTTGTTATGCTGCATTGGCGGTTTCATGAATTTGCAGTAGGGGGTAGTGGGTGGTAGGTATAGGGCCTCTACAGAGAATTTTCAAACATCACCAGGCGAAATACGCGATTTAAGGTATGGCAGGGCAGTGGACAGGTAACTTATTAACTGGTTAACGTATAAATGAGATTAACGCGTTAAAACTCTGTGACGTCCTATATGCATGTTCGGCTGGAAAATCGTTATACAGATCCATGAAGGGGCATAATGCATGCAAAATGTAATTCAGAGACCACAGTGCCACTGTCGCTTAAGTTAAGTCGAAATTACTTGATATTCAGTCTCCGAGTCAGAATCAATAGTCATGGTCCTAAATCCTGGATTTCGAACCACTTCAAGAAGCGCGAAAGTTGGTATGGTTGTGGGAAACAGTTCAGCAGTGCAATAGGGTGTCACACTACCCAAAAGTATCATGCCGAGAAGACGCATGATACGAGAGTACGGTCGTGCGAACCTATGCACAATATTCATAAACCCCAGCCTTAATGGATTTAGATGAAACTTGAACTGTATGTTTTTACCCAAAGATCTCGATTCCTTTCGATATTCGCGCATATTGGCCGCAACTTCCTGGATTATGGTCCCCCAAGAGGTCACTATTTTGATCTGATTTTTTAAACAAAAACAACATTCTAATATACCACCGTTACACCATAATGATGATTGAGTTCGAATTTCGTGAAAATCGGACCGAAACGGTCGGACTAAATGGCCGCTCTGTGTACGCAAATAGTGTTAAAGTATGTAATATCAAGGTTGTGGACCCTCTAGGGGTCACAATTTTGATCCGATTTTGATGAAACTTAAGACTTATGTTTATGTCCCAAAGTTTTCGGTTCATTTCAATATTCACGCATATCGGACAGTAAGTTCCTGGATTATAATCCCCGATTGTACGAAAAAATAGCGACTTTAGCTTGCAGACCCTCTATAGATCACAATATTTATCCGACTTTAAAAATCATTTAAATATGTTACCATTACACACTGATGATGATTGAGTTCAAATTTAGTAAAAATCGGACCGAAACTGACCGACAAAATGGCCGCTTCTTGAACGCAAATAATGTAAAAGTATGTAATACCAAGGCTGTGGACCCGCTAGAGGTCACAATTTTTGTCCGATTTTGATGAAACCTAAAATGTATGTTTATATCCCAAAGATCTCGGCTCCTTTCTCTATTGTACAAAAAATCCAGTTTTTAGCTTGTAGACCATCAAGAGATCACAATTTTTATCTGATTTAAAAAAAAACCCGGTTAAATATATCAGTGTTACAACCTAATGATGGTTGAGTTCGAATCTCGTGAAAATCAGACCGAAACTGCCCGACAAAATGACCGCTTCTTGTACGCAAATAGTGTAATAAAAGTATGTAATACCAAGGTTGTGGATCCTCTAGAGGTCACAATTTTTATCCGATTTTGATTAACGTAGCTTGTTTTCTGTCCAGCTATTGCAAAGTGTGGGCTTATCCTGCATGCCAACCGCTTGTTTGCTTAAATATACATTATGCGAGAGCTAAATCTGCCTATTGCAGGTCTTTCTTTAGTTATATGACTTATTAATTAGACATTCATTAACAAACCAAGATCATAATCAACTCTCGATGGTATCACCATCGGCTACCCGAGATTTTAACTAGATTCGAACGGTTCGCCATTTAAAAATTTAATTTAAAAATGGGAAAGCGAAGCTAAGTCTCGAATATACCAGTGCCTGTTATAATGCACACATCCCGTCAAAACTACTAACAGTGATAACTTGGCTCAGAATGAAGTAATTTGAATGAAATTTTCAATATTTTCATTTTACATTATCTATATTTGAGCTATTATAGCAAGAATGGCCAGCTCTTTATCTAAATCTTACATAATGCATCTTTAGCATGATATTGTAAATTTATATTGTTGTGTAATTAATTAAAAATAAACACCATCACAGCTTTGTGGAAAATTCATTATAGTTAATGATTGATTCATTCTTAAAATTCGGGTGACAAAGAAAATTTTATTTCGCGTAGCAGTTGGGTTTTATATTAAGCTCTAGTGCAGTAGTTTGGGATCGGTTTAATTGGAAATTAAGGGAGTTATAGGCCAGTAACTTTTTTTGTCATCAAATCATGACAAAACTTGCTCAAAGGAAGTCCTTAGAACGATCCACTACTGTGGCTGGAGCAAGACGGAAGACATCAGTAGTGGAAGCATTTCTAATGGTTAATTAGCTCCGAGTGAAAAGTAGACAACGTGCATTAATATTCAAAGTCCGTGGGATTTGGGTATGGTTGTGTAGGGGTGGTTGGTAGTTCTCTGGCACCACCATCAGTCTGAAGGTTTAATGCTCTCCGCAGAAACGGGGTAATCATTAGAGAGCATGGTGGAACGAACAGGCACAAAAAGGGGATGTAGGGCACCCCCGGACACAAGTATTTTATTTAAATTCGGGAGCCAGACTGGCTTGACGAGTCCGGAGCTGGCTCCTTTACCATGGAGCAGGAAAAGTTCATTGGCGGTGGGATTTCCGAGTCAGCAGTTTTCCCTTGATGGTGGCGGGATGGAGTGCCTGAACGGATAATTCTAGTCGTTTGGATGTTAAAAAAATGGTTTCAAAACCGATCATTAAACGAGAATTGAAACCCAATTCCCAGATCAGAATTAAACCAGATCGCCAAATGAGAATTGAAATAAGATTTCAAATCCGATCACCAAATGAGAATTGAAACCGGATGAAGAATGAGAACTGAAACTTGACCACCAAATGAATATGAAACAAGGTCATCAAATGAAGTATTAACAAACATTTTCATTTGCTTGGCTGAATTTATTTCAGAATAATATTTACATAACAATTTAAATAACAATATATATATATATATATATATATATATATAGTTTATAGATAAAATGTAATTAATTCACGGATACAATACAATACAAATATAATATAAAACAAATTCTTGATTTACTCATCCCAATCGCCTACTATATAAGGTTATAAAAGGTTTAATTTGACAAAACGTTGATAAAAACTAGCCAATATCGGACGGAAATATCGACTAAGGACCCTTTTGTTAGAAATAAATCTTGAAAATTAAAATAATATATTTATCATGTTAAAACACTTGATGAGGTATGTAATAGGACTAGTTAAATATACAAGCCAGAACAGATTCTATAGGTTTTAAAAAAATTGCAATTATAAATATTCCTTAAAAAAAAGTCTATTGATTTAAGTCCATCGGTTCAAAAATTATTCAAGTCCATTGGTTCTAACTTAAACATGCATTATGCAAGAGCTAAATATGCCTATTGCAGTCTTACTTTAGGCCTTAAATGTTATATATATTACTAATTAGACATTATTTATCAACACCATAATCAACTCTCCACAATGGACGTAAAAATGGATAATCGAGACTTTGTTAATTATGGTACCAAAGTAGTAATGACGATCTATGCGAGCCTAAACTTGAATCGCTAATATCTCGGTTTAAAGTAGATTAGTCTGTAACTCAATATTATCCAAAATCTTCAACATTGAAAACACGATTTTTTTTGCAATTTAAATCAGCATTGGTATTGTGATCTTACCTGGAAAAGATGAGCTTCTGATATCCAATATTTAAGACAAAATAAACATTTTACCATTGGTACACGAATTGTGTACCATAATGCGTTTCAGCGCCATTTGTAACAAGGTGCTCAAAGAATGAGGCTAGACATATGCCACAAGTCATGTCAAACGGTAATATCATGTTCTTATTTGGAGAGCAGGCGCAATAAATAATATCGGTGTTGACTAGAATAACCAGACGCTAGAAACTGACTTGCGGTTGAGACTTCTGACGTATTTTGCCGAACATAACTGATGACAATTCACAGTAAAACGGACACGATTGAATGTAAAACAGTTTATATAAATTCATATTACATTATTATATGTGTTGCAACCCATTTGTGCCAATTTCTAGGTCCAAAATATTAGCGATTTAGCTTCTTTAAAGTGAAGCAATTTGACTGAAATTTTCATCATATATTTTGTAACTATCTATTATAGCGAGAACTGTCAGCTCTTTATCTAATCTTACCTATCTAATGTCCTCTTTAGTTTGGCCTCAAATGTATAAATTATTAATTAAAAATTTATTTACATGACAAGCCCAAAATCAACTCTCTAGAATTTAGGATGGTTTTGATTTCCAACAGATTCAAATACGATTTGGCAGTTAATGATTTAATTTAAAAATGGATAATTGAGACTTTGTTTATTGTCGTAATGGTAGCGTTGACAACTGAGACTTCACTGTTCTTCAAAAAATGATGACTTTGCCAAGAATGAAATATGACTGAAATTTTCAAGATATTCTCTTTTCATTATATTGTCTATTATAGCCAGAACTGTCAGCCTGTTATCTAAATCTTACCTAATGCACCTTTAAAGATAAAAAAACTAATATAATATATATTATACAGAGCAGACTTCATAAATACCCTTAAAAAATCTACAAATACAAAACTTATTTTCACCTATATCACAGAGATCTTTAAAAGCCGCTGACGGTAATTTACATATTTTTTTCCCAATTCTATCCATTATAAAATGTACTTAAATCGATTATTAACATTTAATTAAGAAAAAATCAAAACATCAACTGTAGATAATCTCTAGGATTAAATTTAATTAGATTAAAAAGATGTCCAGCTAACTTGTCTGCAGAGGATAACACATGAAATGGTGTTTAACGTCCTACTGTTCTGCTCTGACTGGGCTAATGAAGACTGCCATAGGATAAGACGACGAATATGGCAAAATATCAAATTCATTCTACCTTTATAAATTCTGGGATGGAATAATTTTTGGACCGACATTCCATTCATAGATTCAAAATGACGTTTACCAGCTTTATTTCTCCAACTGTCAATTAATAATTTATTTTTAACTAAAATATTGTTATTTTAAACAAAACCCCCAAAATATTCCTTTGAGATACATTGAATGTACATTTAGGTTGAGAAACTGATCAAGAGTATTTGGTGGGTAATAATTATAATGTGTAACGAAACAAACGGAAATGAAACGGGGTTTAACATCCTACCATTGGTGTACCAATCGGGCTAATGGAAACAATCGGGCTAATGGAGACAGACATAAGGCATGTAGTGTGCTAGGAGGTCAATTGTCCCCTAACAGCATCATCGTGACCTACTCTTCTTTTTGCTTTTCAACTGTTAGGGGATCTTTAGTAAAATATTAGACAAGTAATCAACATGATACATACAATAAATATGTGATTAAAGCTTGAGTCCTGCTCAATTTTATATAATATCAAGATGCCATTCACAGAATATATGATAGTTTAAAGGGAAATTAAAGGATTGAAGTTAAACATCTCGTCAACAGAATACTTCGGTCATATTGAGACTAACATATGGTTATTTTTGTTTTTATTTTTCAACACTTTATTATCAAATCTCTTCGACTGGTTCGAACCAAATCAGCTGATTAAGAACATTACTAAAAATCCCATTCTAAAATACTTAATTCTACATTATTTAAAGATATCTCTCCAAAACAGTTCATATTCTTCCTAAGATTTCTCCCTTTGAAAGGTACTATTAGAAAAAGAATTGTCTCCCTTAAAAAGTTTTAATTGGGAGTCATCTCCCTTGATAGTGTTGTCAAGAACCAAAGCCTAGAGTGAATGCCATTTCTACAGTAGATTGTGGAACTGATTCGTGAAAACAAACATATATTTCTTTATCCTCTTCACGAAATCTTCTCCTGAAATACAAATAATATCATTTATGTTCACAGTTCATAGATTTGTTATCCAAGACTAAAATGCCAAAATCAAAAAAAGATTAATTTCCACAGAATTGACTTATCCTTTTACCCAAGTTCATTTGACTTAACCTCCAACACAATAAGTTGATTTGACTTACTCTATAGCTCCATCAGTTGATTTGACTTAATGACTTACCCTATAGAACAATACGTGAATTTGGATTACTACACAATAACTTGATCTGACTTACTCTCCAACACAATAAGTTGATTTGACTTACCCTATAGTATAACACAATAAGCTGATGTGCCTTAAACTATAACACAATAAGTTGATTTGACTTACCCTTGAATTGACTAACCAAATAAGTTTAACTGACTTACCCTATAACCCAATAAGATAAAGATGATGGTTGTGATTTTTTAGCAGATGATGATGAAGTCGGATGATTGGGTGTCAAATTAAATAATACACCTTGTTCCTCTACATCTGTTATCTTATCACTAGATTCATATAAACTTTTCTTTCTTTCACGAGGTTTCTATAAAGAATATAAATTAATTTGAAAATTGAGAGCTGAGGTAGAATTACTACTACATGTAATTAATTCTGGGTGTGACAAAACCTTGATTCAAAAAGTATATATAAATAGTTACATTTACTTTCTTAAAATGTTTGAATAGAGAAGAGAAAACATTCATATATTTATCATGATATAATGGTCTACGGAAGTACATTAGAAGTTCTAACAATGAAATAAAATAGGGTTTAACATCCTACTTTTCTGCAGCGACTGGGGTAATGATGGCAGGCTATGGAGGACATTCAGGCTGGAGAGATGGAATTTAACATACATTCCAAACTAACCAGGTCATTTCAGAACTAACATTTGATATATTTCAAAAATTCAAACACACAGTGCGGAAAATTCAGTCTCCAATGCCTTCAGTCTTATTTCAAATTAATAAAACCTTGTAACCATTCTCAGGAGATTTTTTTCTTAGACCAAATGAAATATCTAAAAGTTCACAGGGAAAGCAATATATAACTGTTCTTACCTCAGTTTGACGAGTATAATGAAATGATTTACGTAGATTTGAGCAACAATGATAAATAGAGTTTATAAGTTGAGTTGATATTGCACTTTGATACATTGTAAGCTGTGTGTCTGTAGGTGTAATAATAACACCACTGGTACTATCTATCTGTATATAGTTAAACAATACATTACATCTTCCTCTTGTTACTCTGTAACAAACAAAAACAATATAAAAACAATGCATTACATGAAAACAATACATTACATGAAAAAGATACATTACATTTACCACTTGTTACTCTAAACAAACCAAAACAACATTATAATAATACATCTACCTCATGTATTCTGTAATGAAAAAACAAAAAAAACATAACAAAAAAACCCATCATAACAATACATCAATTACATCTTCCATTTGTTACTCTGAAACAAACAAAAACAACATTATAACAATGCATCTACCTCTTGTATTCTGTAAGAAAAAAAACAAAAAAACATAACAAAAATAAAAACCCAACATCTAACAATACAACAACTAGAACTGTGAAGCAGTAATGACGGGTTTACTGGTGCCACGTTACCCTTGAACTTATGTGACTTTCGGTGCCACGTTACCCTTGAACTCATATCACCTCCAGTACCAATGGAACCGATAAACAGATTTCCACATAGTAATGACGGGTTTCACCGATGCCATGTTACCCTTAAACATATGTCACTTCCGGTACCAATGAAACCATTAAACATGTTTCCACATAAGCATTGCACATATCAAATAAAATGGACGCAGAATCAACCAAATCCAGCAATATCAATTCATTTTATACATTTGTTACATGTAAGTGTACAGTACTTCCGGTGATAATGAAAATGTTCAATTAGTTTTATGAAATCAGAAATTGCATAAGGCATCACATGGTGAAAATTGTATTTAAATCGAATAATAATTGCCAATTTTATAGACCAAAAACCTTGAAAAGTGACTTGTGGAAAATCGTCTATTTCTCTGTAACCGTACAAGTTAGACACCATTTTGTGGTATCTGTATGATCATATGGGTTCATTCTATTTGTTGATTGGAATCAAATATCATAATTTTAAAAACGTTACAAATCAGACACATTTGAATAAAATATCTGTTTTGAAGGCTAAAAATACAGTTTTTGCCAAAATGACATTACTTCCGTTGATACTAAAAATGTTAAAATAGTTTTATAACGTCGTCTTTGACATTAGGCATCACATGATGAAAATTTTATGAAAATCGAATAATAATTGACACTTTTATGGACCAAAAACCTTCAAAAGTGACTTGTAGAAAACCGTCTATTTCTTGGCAACCAAACAAGTTAGAAACAATTTTATGACATCTACATGACCGTATGAATTTTACTAATATGTGAATTTGAACCAAAAGTTAAAATTATTAATTCATATTAAATAATTCTTAGTTGGAAAAAATATTGATTTTAAAAGTTAAAAATGCAGTTTTTGACGAAATGGCATTACTTCCAGTGTCAATTTTGACATTAGGCATCACATGATGAAAATTTTATGAAAATCGAATAATAATTGACACTTTTATGGACCAAAAACCTTCAAAAGTGACTTGTAGAAAACCGTCTATTTCTTGGCAACCAAACAAGTTAGAAACAATTTTATGACATCTACATGACCGTATGAATTTTATTAATATGTGAATTTGAACCAAAAGTTAAAATTATTAATTCATATTAAATAATTCTTAGTTGGAAAAAATATTGATTTTAAAAGTTAAAAATGCAGTTTTTGACGAAATGGCATCACTTCCGGTGTCAATTTTAAATTGTAATCAATTTGATATGACGCATACTTGCTTTTTGAATGAAATGATGTCACTTTTATGAAAATCCAATAATAATTGACTATTTTACAGGCAAAATAATGAAAATAGTGACTTATACAAAATTGCCCATTTCTAGGCAACTGCTTATATATTACAAAATAATTTTAACATACATTTCCTTCGTATGGATTATAGCTACAAGTTTATACAAGTTACGTAGACATACTTTAAAATCTGAAAAGCCTGAATGGGTTGTAAATAGGTCAATTTTAACCTTTTTTCACCTCTTAATGGAATCTGCTCGAAAATGAAATCGAAATTAAAAAAACTGAGCTCACACTTTTTTGCGGCTTTAAAGGGCACACTCTTTTAGTTATATCAGTTTTTAAAAAAAATTATATTTGCTTTCGAAAAATGGTACCTAACTGTCAAAATTGTAGTTTTTGGTAAAATTACGCCACTTCCGGTGCCGACAGATAACCCTACCAGTAACAAAAAAAAATGACAATTGAGACAACAGAGCATATGAACTTTGGTTTATACAAATCGAACAATAAATAATTAATGGAGGACTGAAAAACTGAATTATCCAATGGTGGCCAAGGAATATCACTGAGACAAAAAAATTTCCACATTTTTGCTCAAGTCAGATGGCTCTTTAATTCTGTGTAAAACACGACTAAAAAATATTCATAAATAAAAAAGTTTTTTGTAAAAATTTAAATTTTCTAAATTTGGCGCCTTATATCTGCGAAGATTTGCCGAAAATCAAAAATCAAAAGTAGCGTAGCTATGTGCCCTGTCTCCGGCTATGCCAAAATGTATCGAAAGTTAAAATTAAATGATTATTGTTAAAATTACTGCAATATTTCTAAAAACGATAGCTTCGGTGATTTCGGACATTTCGCATTGTCGCAGAACGTTCAAAATAGCTTTATCCTCTAAGTCACACCCACTTTCCCACTAAAACAGAAGAAATCGTAACGATGCGACAAGCAGTTTCTGAGATCTAATCAAAATGGAATTAGAATAATAATAATAAGAAGAAGAATAATCTTAACAAAAACAATAATGTTTCACACAAGCTACCCAGTGTGAAACCCTAATTATATCTTCCATTTGTTACTCTGAAACAAACAAAAACAACATTATAACAATACATTACATCTTCCTCTTGTACTCTGTAACAAACAAAAACAACACCATACCAATACATCACCATTACTACTTGCTACTCTGAAACCAACAAAAAGAACATAACCCCTAAACATTAAATGATCATGCGCTCAGCTTAGAAAAATTAAATTAAAAACTCATTTATTATATAAACGGTATAAATGTACATATTATTATTACGTATGTCTGTTCTCACATGTGAGATAACAAAGAATAAAAAAGCTGTTACATTTCTCAATACTCAAGAGGATAATAAAGTTAAAAATACACCCATATAATAATGGGCTTAATACAATATACTTACTTGTTACAATCAGTAGTATGATCATTATCTACAGGTGTATCTAGATGTAATACTGATAAACTTCTTCCTATACCAGATATATCAACAACAGAACTTAAACGTCCAACTTTACTCTAAAACAAAATACAAACAATATATTGAGAGAGAGATGTCTAACCTCTACTGGATACTAGCATTATTCCAGCTGGAGGAAATCCATTCAATAGTACCTGAGTGTGGAATATAGTACCCATGAAACAGACCTAGTGATCTACAGGGCATACCGGGTGGGATGGGGTCGTAGAGTTGTCTTAGATCATAGTTGTCGAGTCAAAGGCAGTTAAACCTAGTTTCAGATACTGGCTTGAGGAGTTCTATCCGTGGGGGAATAGCCTATCAATACAGGTGTACTTTAGATCACAGTTGACTGGATGCAGGGTTGGATTTACTAATAGAAATAGTAGACCATTGGTCTTGGGCCCATGGGTTTCTGGGGCCCACTGAAACTAATTTATTGCAAAGTGTGCCAGCATATAACCTGGTGTCAAGTGTATACCTGGTATTTCATTATATGAAACCCCTGGACAATACTAATAGAGCCTGGTGTATGATAAGTTGAGAGCTATATACAATAAGTATAGGGCAATAGTGGTCTTCAACTGAAGGGATAAATTTGGGGACCCACTGATGAGATTGGCCTAGTGTTCACAAGAAGGTTAATCTGGCCCTGGCTGGGAGAGTTTTACAAGCCTTCCATACAGAATTAACTACTGTAATTTACTGCAATATGTTTTAGATTTATCCAAAAATTTGCAGATAAGGTTAATATAGCCACGTTATCATCTTTATCTAAGATGACTTGGTATTAGATAAAATCTTAATATTGTATAGAGGTATATAGTCATTCTTGACAGTGTAGAAGAACACTCAAGCCTGAGATTATTCTGGTAATGATAAACTTGTAGGAAAAAAACCCCACAAAGCCGTTCTGTGATTGATGGAGGGTAAATATTTACCATTCATTAAAGATGCATTATGTAAGAGTTAAAAATGCCTAATGCAGATCCTTGGCAGTTGGTGTTCGATATGGGAGTAGATCATAGTGTCGCCCAATCTGATTAAAATACAGATCTATATTTTGTTTCGTTTTTTTAAACTTTCGATGGCCTACACTACATGAAGATCTGACCGGTTGTTGCGATACGAGCGGCTTTTGACCCTATGATGTTACTAGTAAATTACCAACAGTTCCGTGCAAAACACACCTAAATCTCTTGGTAACAGACCGTTTCATTGGCTTATACCTCACACTATTCAGAACACGTCAATGATAACAACTCATCCAGAGACTAGTGTAGTAAAGACAAGTAAAACGAAATTTTGAACTATAAAAACGAAACGAAATAGAGTCTGTGTTTAAATCAGATTGAGTGCCGCCGCCTGGGAAAAATTTCCCCTCATAGCACACTGTATGGCGTGTGGCTGTCTTCATTAGCCAAGTAGGAGCAGAACAGTAGGACATTCAACCCCATTTCATTTCATTTCCAAATGCAGATATTTTGTTTGTTCCTCAAATGTTATAACCAGTGGCTGCCAGGCAGGATACGCCCACATTTTGCAATAGATGGATAGAGAACAAGCTAAAAACAAACAGGATTTTTTGTACAATCAGGCGCAATAATCCAGAAAGTTATTGTCTGAAATGCGCAAATATCAAAAGGGACTGAGATCTTTGAGATATAAAGATATGATTTAAGTTTTATCAGAATCGGACAAAAATTGTGACCTCTCGAGGGTCGACAACCTTCGTATTGCATACTTTTACACAATTTGAGTACAAAGAGCGGCCATTTTGTTGGGGCAGTTTCATTTCAATTTTCCCGAAATTCGAATTCAATCTTCATTATGGTGGAATGGTGAAATATTTAAACGTTTTTTTAAAATCGGAAAAAAATTGTGACCTCTAGAGAATCTGCAAGCTAAAAATGCCATTTTTCGAACCATCAGGGGCCATAATCCAGGAAGTTAAGTTCGGGTATCCGCGATTATCAAAAGGATCCATGATCTTAGTGTGTAATGGTGATATATTCACACATTTTTTTTTAAATCAGATAAAAATTGTAACCTCTACAAGGACCACAAGCTAAAAACACAATTTTTCGTACAATCAAGCCCATAATTATTCAGGAAGTTACTATCCGATATGCCGAATATTGAAAGGAACCAAGATCTTTGGGTTATTAACTTACATTTCAAGTTTCATAAAAATCAAAAGAAAATTGTGACCTCAAGAGGGTCAACAACATTTATTGATGTACCATATTTTCACACTATTTGAGTACGAGGGGCGGCCATTTTGTCTGTCAGTTTTGGTCTGATATTTACGAAATTCAAACTCAACTATCTTTAGGGTGTAACGGTGATATATTCAAAAGTTTTTTTAAATCGAATAAAAATTATGACCTCTATAGGGTCGACAAGCTAAAAACACGATTTTTCGTACAATCAGGGGCCATAATTCAGAAAGTTACAGTCCGATATGCGCGAATATCTAAAGGAACCTAGATCTTTGAATTATAAACTTACATTTCAAGTTTCACAACAAAATCGGATAAAAATTGTGACCTCTATAGGGTCCACAACCTTGATATACCATATTTTTACGCTATTTGAGAACGAGGGGCGGCCATTTTGTATGTCAGTTTTGGGTTGATTTTCACGAAATTTTATCTCAGCCTTCCTTAGGGTGTAACGGTGATATACTAAAACATTTTTTTAAATCAGATAAAAATTATGACCTCTATTGGGTCCACAAGCTAAAAACGCAATTTTTCGTACAATCAGGGGCTATAATTCAGAACATTCAGGAATATCGAAATGAACCGAGATCTTTGGGTTATAAACTTGTATTTCAAGTTTCAACAAAATCGGTAAAAATTGTGACCTCTATAGGGTCGACAACCTTGATATATTTTTATGCTATTTGAGAACGAAGGGCGGCCATTTTGTCTGTCACTTTTGGGCCGATTTTCATGAAATTCGAACTCAGCCGTCCTTAGGGTGTAACGGTGATATAATAATACGGTTTTTCAAATCGGATAAAAATTATGACCTCTATAGGGTCCATAAGCTAAAAACGCGATTTTTCGTACAAACAGGGGCCATTATCCATGAAGTTTCGATCCGATACATGCCAATATCGAAAGCAACCGAGATCTTTTGGAGATAAACCTATATTTCTATGTTAAATGGTTAACATGTGCGTGCTGTATCATAAGGCCTGTCATTGAGTCAACTAGCACGGTTTTGAATCCCCGATTGTTCTTGACAAGGAGTAGGGTTGCCTGTCCAACCTTGTGGGTTTTCTCCAGGTCCTTCGGTTTTATCCCACTGCTAAAGACCCCTGCGCAAGCGAATTACTGAAATAAAATTAAACCATATGTTAGTCCCAAAATGACCTACTGGTAGTTTGTGTCCAGTCTCTCGCTCTCTTTTTTTGTGAAAGAGATTGATCATCATACTGTGCAACATAGTGTCTATACACTTATCTTTACTTTTTAGATGATAAACTGAGGTGATATATAAATCAAATTGTAAATATAATCATCACTGCAATATAAACTCACTAAGCTTTTAGCTAATGGGGTTTTTGATCAATATAATTATGATATTATAAATGTAAATACACAGTCTGTAGTTTAGAGATAAATGGAAAGCCATCAGCAATAATTTAATTGCATCCATATAAATGCTTTATTGTGTCCAGATAGATGTTATTGTTATAACAAAGTACATTTCATATGTTCTGTTTGCTCAGGATATCAAATTAGGTTTCTATTAATATTCATCATAATGTAGTTATTACACCATGGAATAGTATTACAGGTAGTTTTTTTTACTTTAATGGTGCCATGGAGCTGTAATTTAGTTATGCTGCTGCAACCTCAGGTAGATTGTTTGTACGATCTCCTGAATTGACTATTTTTCAATAATGTATTAATGAGTTTCCAAGCTGCAAGAATTCGAATTTGTGCTGTTTAAACTAATTCAGTTTTAAAACAAATTACATTGTTTTTGTGTTTGACAAAGTATTAACAGATCTGCTGCAAGTTATCTTCAAAATATTGTATCACAGAAATTTTTTATTGAATGGATCTACCTACTCATAATTTGAAAACTGTGTGGAAAACTATTCCAGTGTATATCAATGTGATTTTGTGTCAGTTGTGAAATCTAGTGAAAACTTAATTAACTGCTATCATTAAGAATACAAACTGTGAACATTTTCTGGCACCTAGAACATTATATATTCGATTGAACAGTTGAGTAACATATATTGTTTTCACGTTTTACATGCTGACCTATATTTTGTTATTTTAGGTTTAACCAGTGATCAAAATGTCCACTGGATATAATTGAGATTATTCATGGAATATAACTGAGATTATACATGGGATATAACTGAGATTATTCATGGGATATAACTGAGATTATCCATAGGATATAACTGAGATTATCCATGGGATATAACTGAGATTATCCATGGGATATAACTGACATTATCCATGGAATATAACTGAGTTTATCCATGGGAATTAACTGACATTATCCATGGAATATAACTGAAATTCCCCATTGGATATAAATGACATTATCCACAGAATATAAATGACATTATCCATCCATGGAATAGAACTGAGATTATCCAAGAATCCACAGGATATAACTGACATTATCCAAGGAATATAACTGAGATCTGAAAGTAAGATAAATGAGGTTATGGCTATCTTTCAAAGAACAACATCAACTGTTCTTTGTACCACCATTATTATATCTATGTTACTCATCATTCCTATATATTCTTTTAACGAGTCACTGTTTATTAAAAGTCTTCTCGCTGGGTACGATCCTCTGGTAAGACCAAGTCAAAATGGAGCAGACATATATGTAACTATACATATATCCCCTTTGTTAATAGCAGAACTGGATGAACGAAAACAACTTTTAAAGACTGCTATTGCTTTTACTATGCTATGGCAAGATAACTTGTTGACATGGGAGACTGTGAATTCCACGATAACCTCTTTGATTTTACCAGCAAATTACATATGGACACCAGATATAATGATCAGCAATTCTGCTAATACTGAAAACCAATTAGATACAGCACAAAGCAAAGCTTTTGTTCACAATAGACCATATTATCACCATGTCATACTAACTGTTCAAAATACATATGTTACTACATGTTCCGTTCAAGTTTTGAAATTTCCATTTGATACCCAGATATGTAAGATATACTTAATTCCTGATGGTGGAAATGCCTCCAAAATTATTCTGAGGACAGATTCAAATGCTGGTATAGATTTGGCCATTTTTCAAAACAGTTCCGAATGGGATCTAGTTGATTTGAGTGTTCGTTGTGCAATGAGGGTGGAGACAGAAGCTCTGGGAACGTATTTTTCAATTGCTATAATAACGTTTACTATGAAAAGGCGTGCTCTAACACACGTAGTAAACAGTCTATTTCCTGTTATCTGCCTTTCACTGTTGAATAGTTTCGTATTTATTTTACCAGCAGGCGGGGGAGAAAGAACTGGCGTATCTATATCACTGTTGTTGTCTTACGCCATTTACATGACCTACATAAACCAAACGTTGCCATCCAATTCGGACACGCTCAGTTATTTTAGCATTTACCTAGTTTGTCTGATCTGTAAAAGTTCTCTTATTGCCTTGGCAACAACCATCAGTCTTTGGCTTCATGACAAAAAGAAAGCACAGGCAGTGGCCTGGTCTCTTTTTACCCGTACCCCATCTCCAAAAATAATTCCTGAAGATCAGTTGATGAGGAGAAAGACATCTGCTATGAAACTACAGGATATGAATTCATTTGGAGATGACAAGTTTGAGCAGGACTCACAACTCGAGAACACAAAAGTCGAGTGTACATCACATGGGGCCAGGCAGTCAAATGAGTGGAGTGTAAGAGCCATCAAATTTGATTGGTTTTGTTGCATATTTTTTATTAGTTGTTCATTGTTGATGCCGACTGTCTGTATTGCTCTGATGCTTACATAAGATGGCAACTTGATCAAATCTTACCAATAGTAAGTAGGCCTACATCTCTTAAGCACTTGGACTGCCCCAAACTGCTCAAAACCACTGTACTATGGAAGGCCAAACAGCTCTTTATTCAGTTTTCTTAATTCTTAATTCATAGTCCTCAATTCTTATTTCTTTATTTGTTGTGGTATTTCGGCATTTGTACACTAAAATTTGTATCTTAAAATCAATATTTGTGTTACAAATCAGACATTTGTGTTACAAAATAGACATTTGTGTTACAAAATAGACATTTGTGTTACAAAATAGACATTTGTGTTATAAAATAGACATTTGCGTTACAAATCAGACGAATTGTTTGATGACCATGATTTAGTCAAATCATGAGCGTGTTATATATGTTTCTATTATATATATTGGTTAATCTGATCTAGCACTATATAAAATAAATTGAAAGTAGTTTATTTTTAGTAATTAGATTATTTTTTGATAGCGACATGTATGGTGGCCTATAGTTATCATTCAGGATTTAACAAAATTTCTTTAAAAACCTAAATAAAATGAAATGAAAATGAAAAACAAAGTCAAAATTAAAATTAAATTATAAACTAAAGTTCAACCAAAAGCAAAAGTTAAATCAAAATTAAATCAAAAGCAAAAATAAAAATAAAAGTAAAAGTAAAACCAAAATGTAAATTAAAATCAAATCACAAAGGAAAACTAAAATCATTTTTAAAAGTAATTTAAAATGTAAAACAAAAGTAAAAGTAAAGATAGGTTGCCAGGCAACGAAACATATGTCCACAGCAGCTAAATCGTTACGGGCAGTAAACAAGAGCTGTCACATATTTTTACTTTTTTCTGTAATGAAACATTTATAATACATTAAAATTGGATTAAGAGTAACAACTCATTAAGTAATTATCAGAAAACCATTAGAATTTGTTTGGTTTTTATAAAGTTCTGCACCATGCTAACGTTTAGTATACGAAACATTTAATATCATGGATTTAGCTGTTCAATTTATCAAAATTCATTGAAAATCAATATACTGGTTCATCTCAAGACCTTAAACTTTGTGTATCAATCTGAAGTCAATCGGTTGATAACTTTAGCCTCTATAGAGTCACAAGATTTTTCAAATTGATCAAGGGCAATAACTTTGGCAGTAATTATCCGAAATCGTTGAAAATCAATATGATTCTTTGTCTCATGACCTCAAACACTGTCTATAAATTTAAAGTCAATCGGATATTAACTTTAGCCTCTATTGCTTGTGGACGCCGGACCGACGGACAGACAGGCGGACGGACGGGGGCGACAATAATATACTACCACATTTCAATGTGGGCGAATAAAAATCATTAATTAGACATTAAAAAATGGACCATCGAGACTTTGTTTATTATCATAGCAATGACAATTTAGACTACACTGTTCTTCAAAGGGCCATAACTCCACTCAGGATAAAGTAATTTGACTGAAATTTTCAATATATTCCCTATCCATTATCTATTTTTAACTATTATAGTGAGAACTGTCAGCTCTTTATATAAATCTTACATAATGCATCTTTAAGGACTTTATATTTACAAGCTTATAAGGTATTATACAAGTACAATAATTGTGTGTAATATCATGAACGTTTAACCCCAATTACCCAATATAATCCACATTAGAAACGAGAAACAGTATAATCGTCCTTGTACGACATCAGTTATATAAAAGAGATATACTGCACATAATAAACTAGATATTAAAGATACCTTCCCATGTACAAACTGGGTGATTTGATGATATATTTGGACTAAAAACATATTCAAACTAATTAATCTATCAAAAGTTTGCCTCAAATCCCTCTCAAAACATTGTATTTGTGAGAAAATACACCAAGCTATAAAAAATCTATAAAAAGAAGTTTTGTTTATGTCACATGACTCGGCAGTCAGGGTGGCTAGCAAGGGGTGCGAAGTTGAAGGAGAATTGATTGTATATGAAAGACGAAGTTGTTAATCGCTGTCGATTTACCATAAATATCAAAATTCTGGAATTGCCACCTGCCAACTTCTTTTTCTGCAGTTTAGTCCCAGAATCTGTTGTACATTTCAGTCTCTCATAAGTACTAATAGCGGTTCATTGGGACTGTGGATAAAATGAAATGGGGTTTAATGTCCTACTTCTGCACCGACTAGTGGAATTGGCTAATGAAGATGGATATACACCATGCAGTGTGCTTACTGCCAATGTGTACTTGTTTTTTCATCTCATCCAAAAGACTAGATAGTTGTGCTTGTCAGGCCTTCAACAATAACAAGGGGAACTGTGGATAAAACGTACTACTTGAATAACTTTTACTCAATAGACACACTCAGCAAATGACCTCATATTAATCGAAACCCGACAAGAAACCACTTACTCAGAAGATTGTTTTTTACTGAAATTTATCTTATGTGAAATTAATTGTGAACAGGTAGTTTCGAGGACTCCCCAAGATTAAATAAATTTGAGCAAACATTGCAAGACCCTGGTATGTTTTTTATGACTTGACACACAACTGTTTCATGAGCATGTAACATCTTTCACCTTAAATTCCTTATACGCCATTTTAGCACTACAGGAAAATGGTTCAATTAGAATCAGTATTTACAAAAATATATGGATTTGAAATTTAACCGATCTATGCTGCTTCGCTATGTAATAAGCTTGTCGTCATTTTCCTGTCCGCGATTATTTATTGGTAGACATGTTTTAAATCTGATGGAATCTATCGTTAGTGTTTTGATCTTGTTTTCTTAATTAAATGTTAAATAATCAATTTGAGTACATATTAACGTGGATTAAACAAAACATGCAAATGGCACATCTTTACTTTAACCCTGGATCTTCGGCTTAAATATATTTTCTTGATGTATTTTATAGGTCATGGATTATAAAGGGTAATGTAATGTTTCTTGAGTCACAGCCAAGATGGCGTCAAATCCTAAACACTTATTTATGTTCAATTTATATAATAGAATGATTTAACACAACACAATTGATTGATAGTTTATCCATTATACAGGTATGAATACATGTATCACTGTGTTCCTGATGTGATGGCATCTAATCATAAACACTCCTGTTCAATTTGTTTGGAGGATTTTACACAACCCAAGATACTTCCATGTTTTCACACTTTTTGTCAACACTGCCTCAACGATCATATCAAGGCACACACTCATCTCAAAAAGTTCAATTGTCCAATTTGTAGAAACGAAACGGAAGTTCCCAAGGGTGGAGCTAGTGGATTTACGACGAATTTCTACATCGAAGACATCGATGGTCAACAGACATGTCCAAAACATAAGAGAGTGTTGTTAAATTTTTATTGCCGTGACTGTTCAACACCAATTTGTTACAAATGTAATGTGATTGATCATGAAACTCATAAGAAAGCTGACCTAGATGAAGTCGGTTTAGAAATGAAAGAGAAACTGAAGACATTGAAACAGAAATTAGAACTGAAGATTGAAGAGATACGGGTATTTAATCATACTCTAACCCAGCAAATAACCAACATCAACAATTCAGCTGCTAGAGTCTGTGATGATGTTGATAAACAAGTGGAGAAGATCTGTGATGCAGCCAGAAAACATGCCGAGGATGTGAAAGATGATGCTATTAAAATGCGAGATGAAGAATGTGAAAAGCTCAGGAAATTACAGGAAGATGTCAACAAATTAGAGTATCAGCTCCAGACAAGTGTACAATGTTCCGATGATGTTTTAAAGAGGGAGGCTACCATTCCGGTTCTAGATATTTTACCTCAAGTCCAAACATTGGCAGATGACCACACATCTAGAAGTCCAGATTATCAGGAGATAAGGTATCCAGATTTCCCCATGGTAGATATTGACGTCCAGTCTTTAAAACAACAGCTGGGGGATTTACATGCGATTATCACAGGAACTTTTACATCCACATTTGACGCAAGTTTAATACAAGTAGGAAACTCTTACTATAGTAATGATGCTGAAATATTCGGATTGACGTGGTATATAAAAGTCCTATACATTGAAGACAGGCTGGATATTGTTTTATATCTGAAGAACCCAAAAGATGTCAATAAAAACTTTGACATAGTAACCAGTACAATAAAACTGATAAACAGAACAGATCAGAACAAGCCTCTTGTGAAAACAGAAAACTACATTGTAAATGAAAGAGATGATAATGTTAAATTTAAAAGTACAGGAATAATTTGTTACTGGTATAAGCTAATAGAACCTGATTTCTTATTACTGAATAAAGACAACCCTTTTGTGGACGAGGTGAATAAATTTACATTTGAGACAACTATTAAAATAAACCACCATATGAAGAGACATGGATAACTTTACCATGTGGCCTATCACCAATTGATCAGTAGGTTATGACATAATGAAAATAAATTTAAGATGTTGACCATTTAATAAATTAATCTGACCATTCTTGAAAATGAATTTAATATTGTAATTTTAATATTCTGATTCCTACTCTAACTTAGGATGGACCAATAATGCCAAAACAAACCCAGGTATAGTACTCGATCAATTCTTATGGATGATATATTTTCCATAAAAATGTTGAAGATGTTATATATACGTCAGAATGCAAGTACTGGTGGAAGTGATATTCATACTGAAGGAGTTACCAGCTTAATGTTCATTTATATGGAAATCTATGTATTTAGCGAAGTGAAATATTTTAATTTAAAACATTCAAATGAACTTGTATATCCTTTATAATCCTGTTGTTTTATTCATTAATTTTGTGCTACATATTACCTTGTTTTTTATAATTTTATGTATTATCCTTGTTTAATTATTAATATGCCAGTGTACTTATGTGTAGATTGCTTTATTAAAATAAAGTTATTATTATTAAGTTATACATGTAATATAACAACTTAATAAATTAATATATGACAACATCTTTATATTTCACTAAATGTAAATCTTGATCTAGTGCTAGGTATGATCAGACCCATGGGATTAAAGGGGAAGACAAGTCATTTTCCACAAGTATTTAGAAATAATCCCTAATGTAACACAAGCAAAACAGTTTTTAATTTACGGTTTTCATAAAAACTCATACAGTATGCTGTGAGGGAAATTTTGTACGAACAGCAGTGCTTTGGCCTACTCTTATATCGAATTCCAACTGCTAAGGGTTCTTTTACATGCATGCCAATCTGTACATTGGACCTGTTTTTTTTGTCCATCGGAATGACTATATGTTGTCCCTTGTCAGGCCCCCTGTCCTGCACCACTGACAAGGGGGAAAAATGCTGGGTTAGCGAGCCAATGTCTACCTCACTGACCTTCCACGGCTGCAGACAGAAGAAACAGACTGATGTTGATCAATCCTGACCTTTGACCTCCACAGTAAGAACAGCAAGGAAGAAAGAGAAATAAATGCAATCATGCAGATCTAGATTTTTAAGGTGTATGGTTAGGTGGGTGAGATTGTGGGCTTTGTGAAAATCGTTTAATATTGATCATGAAGTTGTAGCATATAAATCTGCTACTGTTGGGGGCTGGGTTTAATTGACCCTCTTTACCAAATGAGTATTTTTAAAACGAGCACAAGCGTATATTGGACCATGAACCGAACAAGACGTCATCACACCATCTTTGAATTTTGACGTCATATCGCAATTGTCAAAGTAACAGGCATACTCAGACTTTTTTTTTGGAAAATAATAGGTCTCCAAAAACAGGAAGAAAAACAAGATGGGTCTGCGCATGAGGACAAGAGAGAGAGAGATGTAACATGATGTCAGACAGGTAACTCTATTCCTTGTCAGGTACAAGTGTGGGACCGAAACCAGGCCTCTTGGCTCTATGTCAGATCTTATGATCTAAAGCGCACGTGTTAGAAAACAAAGAGAGAGAGAGAGATAAATGTGGTTTAACGTAACTCGACACAAACTAGGTCATTTTGGGACTAATTTTATTTCCATAATTCGCATTTGTGCGTAGGGGTCTTTAGCAGTGGGAGGGAGGGAGAGAGAGAGAGAGAGAGAGTGTTTAATGTCCACTCGACACAAACTAGGTCATTTCGGGATTAACATATGGTTTAATTTTATTTCAATAACTCGCTTGCGCGTATGGGTCTTTAGCAGTGGGAGGAAACTGGAGGACCCGGAGAAAACCCACGAGGTTGGACAGGCGACCCACTCCTTGTCACATACAACAGGGGAATCGAAACCACGCCAGTTGACTCAATGACAGACTTTATGACACAGCGAGCACATGCTAACCATTAAGCCATCCAACCCCCCCTATATTTAAACAAACATTATGCAAGAGGTAAATCTGTCTATTGCAGGTCTTTTAGGCTTGAAATGTTTTCTATATTATTAATTAGACATTAATTAACTTATCCAATGGCATCGGATTTCTCCGATATTAAATAGATAAGAACAGTTCAGCCATATTTGGATTTAAGCTAAAAATGGAGGAGCGGGACTTACGCTTCGAACAACCAGTATGGTGGTTGAAATTATTGCACACGTCTTGTCAAACCTTCAAAGGCTAATATCTTCGCTTGCAATAGAGTAATTTGAATGAAATTTTCAAATTATTCATTTTACATTAACTATTTTCAAACTATTATAGCAAGAATGGCTAGCTCTTTATCTAAATCTTACATAATGTATCTTTAAGTAAAATCTGTTATACCTGGGGGGTGGATGGCTGAATGGCGTGCACTGAATCATAAAGTCTGTCATTGAGTCGACTGGCAAGTTTTCGAATCCCCGGTTGTACGTGACAAGGAGTAGGGTCGCCTGTCCAACCTTGTGGGTTTTCTCTGGGTCCTCCGGTTTCCTCCCACTGCTAAAGACCCCTATGCGCAAGCGAATTATTGAAATAAAATTAAACCATATGTTAGTCCCGAAATGACCTAGTTTGTGTCGAGTGGACGTTAAACCCCATTTCTCTCTCTCTCTCTCTGTTATACCTGACCTCTAACAGGCCTCTGGGACTTATTTATTTGGGGAAAACTGTTTATTTAATTTTGTGGATAAAGACACCACATCTTTAAATATTTAGACTTTCGATATTTTGATTCATGCAGAATTATTCAAAGCCATCAATTTATTATATAAGTCAGATTTGATACAGTGGCTCAATTTAACTGATCACTGACAGAGATGACATTTAATTAGCAGCTCTCAATATTAACAGTTTTACTTCTGCTAATGAAATTCTAAAACATTTTTTAAAAAATTATTAAACATGCATTATGCAAGAGCAAAATCTGCTTATTACAAGTCTTTCTTTAGGCCTGAAATGTTATCTAAATTATCATTTAGACATTAATTAACTTATCCAGACCATAATAAACTCTCGATGTCAAGGCTAGCCTTCGATGTTGGCTGGATTAGATTCCTATATGCCGCTAACGGCTATTGATAATTAAATCAATAAAAGTGGATAATCAAGACTATGCTGTTTATATTAATGATTTTAGTAATGATGACCGAGACTATGCAAAAATTTCACACGCTTTTTTCTCGGCTCATAGTGGATCAATTTGACTGAAATTTTCAGCAAATTACCTTTACACTATCTAGTTTTTAAGTATTATAGCGAGAACTGCCATCTCGTTATCTTATCTCCCATAATGTATCTTTAAGAACAAAAATAAAGGTGTTTGAAAGGTGTTTGAAGCATAACTAGAGGAAAAATATTCTCTGTTTAGTGTGAATGGGTATATGAGTAAAAATGAGTAAAAGACACCGATTCTGCCAAGACCAGTTTGTGAGAGAGAGAGAGAGAAATGGGGTTTAACGTTGCTCGCGCGTAGGGGTCTTTAGCAGTGGGAGGAAACCATAGGACCCGGAGAAAACCCACGAGATTGGACAGGTGATCCAACTCCTTGTCACGTACAACCGGGGAATCGAAACCCCGCCAGTTGACTCAATGACAGACCGTATGATACAGCGCGCGCATGCTAACCAACTGTTTGTATTACTATGCCCGATGTAAACAACACATGTCTTATGAGCACCTCACAAAGGTCTGGCATCTTGTACAGTGGTTAAAGAAGGCATTTACATTACCGCTGTCAAACAGTTTGTGACTGAATCAAAAAGATTGGCAACTGGTCCCAAATTAATGTTACGTAATTTTAAATAATCTAATATGGTACCTACCTGAATTTTCTGTTGTCCAGCACTATTACTACTTCCTGTTGAATCATTAGAACCATATGAGAGTTTGCTCCCTTGTCGTTTAATGTTACCATGACTACTGTCTATATCATCACTTGCATCTATAATTGTAAAAAGAAATCCCAAAAGATTTGGTTAAGCCCATCTTTTTGTTATAACGATGAGTTAAATTATCGCAGAATGTCAATGGCAAGGCAGGAGCCTACGTGGTTGAGGGATTATTGTGATGACTCCCTAACCAACCAAGATACAGGTGCTGGCTGAGAAAGTTCTTCTGGATATTCCAACATATGTTCTCCTTTCAATTGGTCCAAGACGGAGACAAGAATAACTGTCTAGTTATTCAGATGGGACAATAAACTGAGGGTCTGTGAGCCCAGTTGGCAGCACATTACTTTAAAAAGTTAGCTGACAGTTTGAGTAGGCCATAGTGCTGGTGTATTGGGCAACATTTCTCTCATAACACACTGTATGGTGTATGCCTATCTTCATTTGTAAAATGTTAAGAATCATTTTGATTGATGTCAATTGCAAGACCTCTCAAATTTGGAATAAGACACATTCTACTGATTGACTGACAATATCAACTTACTAGAATGACGATCACTGTGAGGACTGTATTTATATCTTCCTGGATCGGATTTCATTGGACTTACAGCTAAAATATAATATAATACCAAAATTAACACCATATTTACATCAGATGTTTTTATGGACTGGAACCCACATTCTCTTTAATAAATTTCAGCAGCCCTTTCAATTCTTAAATATATATTTTGTTGGGTTTATTTATTTCTTTTTTTATAAATATATATTTTGGTTAGTTTATTTTCTTTATAAAATATACGTCCACATGAAAATGTGAGTGTATAAAAAACAATTTGGCTGGTTTGTTCATTTATCTTGTTTATAAAAGTATAATTTGGATGGTTCGTTTCAAGATGACTTAAGAACCCCCAGAGAAGTATTATGACAAGTAACTTTTACCATCACAAAAGAAACAAAATGTGAAACTTACGAGTTTTTGGTGATTGTGGTATTTTTTGGGGACTGATGTTATCATCTTTGGTTTTTATCTTTGGAAGAAATTTATCAACATTAGCTAGAGAGATATTCTTCTCTTCCGAACATATACTGAAAAATACCAGAGATAACAGGATTAGATGAAATGAGAGCGCGCGACACAGACTAGGTCATTTCGGGACTAACAGACAGTTAAATTTTATTTCAATAACTTGCTTGTGCATAGGGGTCTTTAGTTGTGGAGGAAACCTGAGAGGATGGACAGGTGACTCTACTTCTTGTCACTCTACTTCTGGGGGAATCAAAACCACGCCCTTGATTCAAGGACAGACTTTATGATCCAATACGCACGCATTAACCCATTTGGCCACCAGCTCCGCCCATCCCCCCCCACAGATAAAATGAACTGAAATATAATGAGAATAACAGGGCAGTGTTATTAAAGACACAAATGCAAATATAGATTTTTAGACAAGGGTTCTTGTTTCATTTGTATTTGCCTGCTAGTCTAGACGGTCCTACAGTGATATAGACTAGCTGGAGACTAAAATTAATTAACCACATAGATGTTTCGGTTTTAAACTAGAAGTTAAAAAGAGAAAACATCTGTTTATTAACCAATAGCTGCTGAAATGAAATACCACCGTTCAGAATTTACAAAAAAATGTTTTTGACACTTGACAACCACTGCAGACAATATATAGGATATAGTCAGACACTGGCGCCACCTATACGATTCGCAGACTATTTTGATGGACCTCTTTCTAATCCCACTGAATGGTTAGCGTGTGAGCGTTGTATCCTAAGGTCTGTCATTGAGTCAGTATGTGTGGTTTCGATTCCCCAGTTGTACGGATCGCCTGTCCAACCTTGTGGTTTTCTCAGGGTCCTCCGGTTACCTCACACTGCTAAAGACCCCTACGGACAAGCGAATTATTGAAATAAAATTTAACCATATATTAGTCCTGAAATGACCTAGTTTGTGTTGAGTGGACGTTAAACCACATTTCTCTCCCTACCCAGGAGATTAATGACTGTTGATATTTTTATTGTTTTCTTAATTTGAGTACAATTTTAGCGTGGATTAATTATAATTCGTGTAAAGTTTGATATTCTCAGAAAATTAAAATGACGTCATACAAGGTCCTTAATATGTTTTCTTACCTTTCCTCACAACATATTGCCATAGAAACATCATCTTCATCCAACTGTTCTAAAGTTGATTTGATTTGATCAACGAAAAAAATATCAACAGATGGATTGCCAACAGCTTGTTGTGATATACCTCCTGTCTCTAATATACTACACATTAAATAGTTGTTCTGAAAATAAAAATATTCCTGCGATTGGAAATGGTGTTGGAATGTTTGGTCGGCATTATACTTCGGTAATTTTGCGACAAACATATGGCCATTTCTATCTTCTATTGTTCGATGTGCAATGCCTGGTACAAGATTTTGTCTGGAAAGCGGCATTTCCGCTTATTTTCCTTTGAATTCAAATAGTCAACAGTTCTCTATTTGTATCCCAAAGGGTACACAGATGGGCCTAATTCTTTCGTCCATTCCGAATGACTTGACAAACTTTCCATGTGAGCCTCGTAGGCACCCACCCAGACAAGTGAAGGACAGTCTTGAAAAATCCTGAAGTTTTTCTTGGCCTATGTTAAGATTGGAACCATAGAAAATGATGGTGTAGCCGAAAATTATGAAATCAATTTTAAATCCATTTCCTTGACCCACATATATCCAACTCAAATTTGCAACAATTGTGGACATTTAACTGTATATTTTTTTTTTTTAACAATGCAGCTGATTTAGTGTCCTTCAAGGTGCAAAACGTGGATTTATTATAATACGTCATCCACTTACCAAACCAACTATCAGCAGAAACCAGCGTCCTCTAGGTTCAACATATCCAGGCAGGGGAATTAATGGTGAGTCACATCTAGCTGTAGGAAAAACTTCCAGCCATATCACTAGATTATCCAGACTCTTACTTGCCATTATATGATATAAAGCATGATGCTTTAAGTACAGGTTAATGTCAGATTGGTCAGACCAAGACAAATGACTCGACAACAACCAGTTCTGAAAAATAAGAAATAAAACAACTGGAGGAATTTCATAAGCTACCTCATACTATACAGTAAAACAAAAATTTTATGCAACCTAAAGCCAGGGAGTCAAACCAGAGTATTGAAAGAAGTCACCAGGCAATCAGCATTAATATTATTTACTAAATCAGCATTAATATCATATACCAAATCAGCATTAATATCATACACCAAATCAATATTAATATTATACACCAAATCAGCATTAATATTATACACCAAATCAGCATTAATATTATACACCAAATCTATATTATATACCAAATCAGCATTTATATTATATACCAAATCAGCATTAATATTATTTGCACAATAATATAATGATTTTTGATGTAATCTATGTTTGAAACTGATTGTTTTCTTACCTTATGAAATAGTAGAGATCCAAGTAGAGTTGTGTATAACTGTATCACTTACCTTATAAAATAGTAGAGACCCAAGAGTTGTGTATATATCACTTACCTTATAAAATAGTAGAGAACCAAGAGTTGTGTATATATCACTTACCTTATAAAATAGTAGAGACCCAAGTAGAGTTGTGTATAACTGTATCACTTACCTTATAAAATAGTAGAGACCCAAGAGTTGTGTATATATCACTTACCTTATAAAATAGTAGAGACCCAAGAGTTGTGTATATATCACTTACCTTATAAAATAGTAGAGACCCAAGTAGAGTTGTGTATAACTGTATCACTTACCTTATAAAATAGTAGAGACCCAAGAGTTGTGTATATATCACTTACCTTATAAAATAGTAGAGACCCAAGAGTTGTGTATATATCACTTACCTTATAAAATAGTAGAGACCCAAGAGTTGTGTATATATCACTTACCTTATAAAATAGTAGAGACCCAAGAGTTATGTAAGATCTTCTTGAATCCATCTGATCATCTGACTAAAAAAAAGATCAATAAATATCAGAAATCAGAACTACAACAATTAAAGGTCGCTAGGCATGTGAACTTAAGCTTCTCTACAACAACTATAGTCTGGAGATAATAGCAGCCATTATGTATAGGGTAACTGGCTATCTGTTTGCATTTACAGTACATGCTAGTTGAGCATTATTTTGTGCAAAGAAAAGAAAAATGGCAGATTTACAATTTAAATACCCTGAACTCTGAAGGCCATTTGAGGGATTTTGAATCCCTTGCAAACTACAATATTGTAAAAGTTGAATGGCTAAATGCATTCTCTGCATAATACTACAAACAAGCCAGTGCCACATGTAATGTTGCGTAAAATCTTTTGATGGGTCTCTTTTTAATCTGACTGAATCCCACCCGAAAGATTATCTACTACTGCCATTACGGTTTTTGTTTTCTTAACCAAATGTTAAATAATTAATTTCAGTATAATTCAGGGTGGATTAGTGATGAAAGATTAGACATCATCCAAAATCTGTAAATCAGCAACCTTAGTTTGTATCAGAAATTTATATCAACAATAGGTTGTGTATAAAAACACTTACTAAAAATTCATCAAAGTCCATTGCCTCAAACTCACTTAAAATTTCATCACACAAGAGCTGAAAAAAAAATATTAACATTACTTAGCAAAATAACCAGATAAGAAAATATGATGATGTCAAAATAAAGACACTTACAAAAAAATGGATTCATTGTGTCTGCAGTTAGAGGAGGTTAAAACCCAATTAATACACAAAAACACATACAGCTAGTTATTTATTTGGGCGACGTTTTAAAGAGTATTCTCTCAACTTAGCTGTTTTTCCATAAGTATGTGTTTTTGTGTATTGATCTATCTAGTTACTAAATGCCTCTGAAAGATTATCAACCTCAATATTGTGAGTGACATGCTGGATCACTGATTGGGAGGTCGTTCGATCTGGTATTGGTCGAGAACTTCCTCAGTATTTTCCAGCTTGCTTTCCTGTTGTCAGCAGTACAGGACAGACAACATGGCATGATCCTGTGTACATATTAAGACTTTGATGGAAAGTAGGCAGATGAAGAATAGTCTGATGTTAAACCCCATTTTATTTACATCATAAATTATTAGTTTTTTTTTATATTTTATATCTATTTTCCATTATGTAAAAAACGAAAATCTAAAAATTGAGCATCCTTGGCATTTGTTACAATAGCTGAACAGAATCAATATTCTTGACTTAAGTTAACTTTAATATCATCTCATCAAAAATTTACATTACTCATTTTGATACTATCATATGATAATATTTATTTCTATAATTGACAGACATGTTTCAGCCTACTCTTCGATATTCCAACTCTCTTTTATGTGCACAGTTGGATCACAGTTTTTTGTACCATCTGAATGACTAGACAATGTTTCACTGTCAGCCACCCCTTAAAAAAAACAAAAGGTTCTTTTAGGTCAACCTGAAACATGTTTTTTTTTCTCTTAAAATAGATAATTTCACCTCACCTTGTTTTCATCTGACAACTTCAACATTCTTATTTCTCTTTCACTGTCAAAAAACCTTGAACTCATTACCCCTGAACTCTGTGATAGGTCAGGGGTCAATAATCGTCTGAAGGTCAAGGCAAATAGCTGATCTAATTGATGAGAATTAGATTTTTGAAAAGCACTGGAAAAAACCCCAAAAAACCCAATAAATTTGATTTGTTTTTTTCGGTAGGAGATTAATTGGTTGTATGAGCTGCTTTTCAAGAAGGGAAATGGGCTGTAATGTCTTATTCAATGTAATGAAGACTGACGTACACCATGCAGTGTGCTTTGAGAAATATTTTGCCCTGACAGTGGCACTACTGCCAACTCTTGTTTTGACTTCCAACACTGGTTTTGAAGGAATGGAGTAAATCTTTATTCAATTTATAAATTTTTGTGAAGGGTTATGTGTGAGCAAGGAAGACCGTAGAGCTATGAGTATAGGCTTTAGTTTAGACATGTTGTTTCAACTCCTTGCATAGATAGTCATTGAAAAGAACGTTTACTAATTAAATTGAAATTTTTGGATCCTTTCATTACCTTTTAACATCCCCAAACATAAATTTTAACAGTTGACTTATTTCATCTTTAATCATATTTAAACTATGTAATGATACTCTGAAATCATAACAAACATTGTATTTAAACTATGTAACGATACTCTGAAAGAATAACAAATATTGTATTTAAACTGTGTAATGATACTCTGAAATAGTGCCAGGTAAATACAATAAAAACAGTAATAATATAATATTGTTAGTATCATGTATCATCATATTTGTTATAGACTTTAATATTATAATAAGATAGGTTGCCAGGCAATGAAACATACGCCCACAACAGCTATATCGTCCGGACAGTCAACCAGAGTTGTTGCATATTTTTACTTTTTTCGGTAATGAAACATTTATAATACATTAAAATCTGATTAAGAGTAACAAATCATTAAGTAAATATCAGAAAACCATTAGAATTTGTTTGGTTTTTATAAAGTTCTGCCCCATGCTAACACTTAGTATACAAAACTTTTAATATCATGGATTTAGCTGTTGAAGTCATAAAGATTCATTGATAATCAATATACTTGTTCGTCTCAAGACCTTAATCTCTGTGTATCAATCTGAAGTCAATCGTATATTAACTTTAGCCTCTAGAGCGTCCACAAGATTTTTCAAAGTGATCAAGGGCCATAACTCTGGCAGTAATTATCGGAAATCGCTGAAAATCAAAAGGCTTCTTCGTCTCATGACCTTAAACACTGTGTATAAATTTAAAGTCAATTGGATATTAACTTTGACCTCTAGAGCGTCCACAAGATTTTTTGAAGTGCTCAAGGGCCATAACTCTGGCAGTAATTATTGAAAATCGCTGAAAATCAATAGGCTTCTTCGTCTCATGACCTTAAACACTGTGTATAAATTTAAAGTCAATCGGATATAAACTTTAGCCTATAGAGAGTCCACAAGCAATTGTGGACGCCGGCCGGCCGGCCGGATGGACGGACGGACCGACGGACACGACTGAAAATAAATGTGCCAGTCATGTTCAAAATTCTGGCACTTGTCAATGGAGAATGAGATTTATTAATAAAAGTATCAAAGTTATTATTCTAACCCCTTAACTGTGTAATTAATTTGACGTTAACTACCCCCTATTGCGTAATTAATTTGACGAAAAACGTCATATTTGGGCCTATTTTTTCCTGAATACAAATTTGAGTGGTCTTAAGCCAAAATAAAACTAACAGTAAATAGAGTTGTCTTCCTTCAATTAGATTCCTCGACCAGGCGTAATAAAACGTCCTACACAATGCTGAGATCGTGTTCGAAGAATAGGTTGGGGAAAATACCTCCAGGGCGTTATATTACGTCCTACACACGGTGAGTGGCAGTTGTCCAGGACGTTATATAACGTCCTACGCAGTTAAGGGGTTAACTAAATTAATGTTTTATGATACAAATATATACTGGGTGGCCCTTGCTAAATAATCCTTGGTGTTTTAGATAAATCTATAACTTCTCAACTATTGTAGCACCTATATAATATTATCGGTCTCTATATATAGGTAATCCAAACCCTAACCATAGAAGAATGAAATACAAAAGTGTATTGTGGCATTGGATTATCCTTGCTTTAAATAAATTCTTAATTCTTCCTTTAATCTTTGTTTGTCTCTGTAAAACCCTAACCCTTGATAAATGAGATACGTACCTTTTAGCTGGTAACAATAGCACTAATACATCTCTATTTACAACAATATAACTAACATGGACTAACTCATTATTCATTAACAGTGTAGAGCTGAAAAACAGTAATACATGTTATTACCGGTAAGGCCATATAAAAAAATATTGTGGTTTTCAGATAATTCTGCCTCACTTAAAAAGGGATGCAAATGATTCGTTTTCATTTTAAAAAACCCAAAAAACAATCTCATTAACTACTGCATGTAAAACTTTCCCTGGTTATAGGAAGTAGCTCTATAAAAAAAATACTGGATTAATCATACATTTCTATAAACAATATGCTGAGATAAATATAGTGTCCAGACCCTGAAATGCGATGTTAAGAGAAGTCATTTAGCCTAGTACTGATCTTTTGACAAAATAAAACACATAAATGAAAAAATCGTTCCCACATCAGATTTTTGGTAATGATTGTCTGAGAACCAGAATATTTATTTTGTATGGCCTAAAATGTGAAAGATATCCTCAACACTTTATTCAAATCTACTCCCACCAGCAGTAAAGCTCTAAAATTATTATCAACAAATCATGCAGGAAAAGATTTTTAAAAAATCGATGATAAACTCAGTCCCAAGATTTAAAAGTAAAAATGTGAACAGAAAGATAAACAAGATTTTTGCTCTTCCTCTAAAATAAGAACAATTTCGAAAGAGTGTCTCCCACAAGAACAACAAGATAAGTAGAGCTTGGGACCAAGTTCCTGGTCCATCAATGTGTGACATATATATAGGTGATAAGTAGGCCTAAACATTCCAGTTACATGTACCTACCCTTTAGAATGGTACATGTAGACATTAAAATCAAGCAAAGAATATGCTAACACATGATGTATATATATGATTGATTTGGCTCAAAGTTTCAGGCAGTTTGGGCCTTGCTTCAGAAGTTAGCAATCATCACTGTTTCTCATGGTAATTTTTAATAGAGTTACCTACCTTTTAGCATGGTAGCCAGTAACATCAACCAAAGAATACGCTAATGTAATAAATAAACCACGGACATTTTGAATACAGTTTGAGTTACTAGGATACTGATATATAATATCACCCTGAAATAGAAAGAGAAATGGGGTTTAACATGCATTCAACACAAACTGTGTAATTTCAGGATTAACAAATGGAACAATTTAATTTCAATAATTTACTTGAGCATAAGGGTCTTTAAAAGTGGGAGGAAATTGGAGGTCAATGAGACAACAATACTCCTTGTCATGTACATGCTTGGGATCGAAACCAAGCCACCTGACTCAATGACAGACCTTATGATCTAAAGAGCATGTTAGACCCCCCACCCTGAAAAAACACATATTACAAAAAATAAGGAATGAATACATTAAAAGGTGATTCAACTCTCTAATCCTGTTCAGGCTAATCTGAATAATCCTATAGTATGTTACTCCAATTAGCTTGGATCAATAACTAAAGGCTCTGTTACACTAGTGGATTGATCCTTTAAGACAAATCCGACAAAAAGTCTTAAAAGGTAATTGCTGTAGCTTTCTCGGTTGAGTTCAACATCAGCTATTTTGAGAAGAAGTGCTGGCCAAAATATGGGTAAACAACATCAATGGTAATTGCATTTAACATTTAACAGCTTCTGATTCAAAGGTTTCTGGTTATATACTATTCAAAAAAAGTAGGGGATATTTGATTTTTAAGTGTTATTAAAGTCACCTAATGAAACTGACGAAGAAACAAATGACAAAATGAAATGAAGTTCACATTCATCGATTTATTCCAAATGATCGTTAGACTAAGTAAGGCACAGACTGACCATTATAAGGGTAAAATGATACCCGGGGTCAAACAGCAAAGTTACCACAGCATCACAACCAAGTCAGTAACGGGTAAATCCTCCTCTGTTTGCCAAACAAGCATTGATCCGACGTGGCATACTCCTAATGAGACGTCTAAGGTCATTTTGGTCCAGATTGTCCCATTCCTGTTGCAACGCAGCAGCAAGTTCTTGGACATTGACAGGACGTTGTTGACGTTGACGTAACCTCTGTCCAAGCATGTCCCAGACATGCTCGATGGGGGAGAGGTCGGGACTCAGTGCTGGCCAAGGTAATGTGGTGATGTTCTGTTGTTGGAGGTAACCTGTAACGATCCTGGCCCTGTGACATCTTGCGTTGTCATCCTGGAAGATGAAACGGCGGCCATGACGTCGTGCGAACGGCACAACATGGACTGCCAAGATGTTGTCCCGGTAGTACTGGCCTGTAACACGCCCTGCAACAACATGTAAAGCCGTTCTTCCAGCAACAGTGATGCCTCCCCACACCATAACAGAACCACCCCCAAATCGATCATGTCTGATGACGTTAACGTCTTGGAAGCGCTCGTTTCGACGACGCCACACCCTCCTACGTCTGTCCAAAAAATCAACAGTGAACCTTGACTCATCTGAAAACATCACATTGCTCCAGCGTCGATTATCCCAGTGTTGACGATCCCTACACCAACGACGTCTTGCCTGAATGTGATGATCTCTCAAACAAGGGATCACGCGAGGACGTCAGGCGTTTAGGTGACGCCTATGCAGTCGATTCCGAATCGTCTGGCCACTCACTCTCACACCAGTGTCTGTTTGAAGACGAGCGCTGATCTGATTTGCTGTGATGACACGATTTCTCAAGGCCAAGGTACGGATAAATCGATCCTGGGCTTGAGTTGTCGCCCTTGGTCGACCTGAGCGTGGTCTGTTCTGTACAGATTGTGTATCACGGTATCTGGACCATAGCCTGCTTATGACAGACTGATAAACATTCATCGTCCGCGCCACAACCGCCTGTGTTGTGCCGATCTGTAGCATGCCAAGGGCACGTAACCTTTCATTTTGGGTAAGCCGACGCATATCAAAATTTGTTTTCTGGTCACTAAAACAATTAAACTGATGTTTCCACCCTGGAATTCAATGCCACAATGACTGTAACATTCAAAGTCAGAGTCGTGCAAATCTTGGGTTGGACCCCCATGATGATCCCAAGCATCACCTGCATTCCATGCGGTAGCTATTGGTGCGTTTGGGCGTCACATGTAACTGGAAATGTTTCTTCTGTTAGGTTCTATAGTGACTTTTTTCGTAGTCATTTGCATATTTTAGTATTATGCCCCCAAAATCAAATATCCCCTACTTTTTTTGAATAGTATATTAATCAGGGTTCAATCCTGATGTTGTTCG